TTCATTTTAATGAGAAAATTCCCTAGTGTTATGTACAGTTTGTAGCTGATGGAGGTTATTGCATTTTTTAACCTGGAAAGAAACAAGATGAATTACAGAATGAAGTAATTTGGTCAAATTATTTATGATGCAAACTTTTACTTACGCATATTTGCACCATCAAGAGTAAAAATCTCACAAGCAAGTATTACGTGAAAAGAGTGTCATGTCAAATGATTTTAGTACTAGTACTCTGAAGTCGGCATTAGACTCTCATTACTCCAGAATTAAAACATAATGCCTGTTTTAGTTGGAGGTAATTGTATGGGTTTAGTTAAAGCAATCAATCAGTATTTGTATTTGGTATTTGGTTTCTTGTTTTGAATAGATCAATTAGTGCTCAGTAACAAAAGGTTAAAAAAGATAAATTTCCTTTCATATGTGGTGGTATTTGGAATGCTGATGCCCTGTGAAAATTGAATGTATTTTCCCCAAGAGAATGTTTGGCTAGTTTTCCCTCTCTCCCTCTCTCCTTCATATCCCAAGTGAACTACCAGTTACTTTAATAGAAGGCATAGGAATTTGTATTTTTTATATCAAAAATAGATATTTTATCTTTCTTTTTCTCTGCAGGTCATTCTCATTTGGCCATCGTTCAGCGTGTAAATACTGAGGGCGAAGGAGATCCATTTTATGAAACTGTGGGTTTGGTCACATTAGAGGACATCATAGAAGAGATTATCCAATCTGAGATTGTGGATGAGACAGACACTGTTAGTAAGTACCATTTTGATCTTTAGTAAAAAAAAAAAGTGAAGGTCTTTCTTTTCAGAGATTATATTGTTAAGGAAGGAGGAGGGGGGGGGGAGAGAATAGAGCATGGTGAGTGTTGATAGTAAAATTAATTGTTGGCAAAGGGAGGATGGCAAATTAAAGAGAAGTGGTTATTCTGACTTATCTGACCAACTATTCAACTGATGAACCTGTACAGTTTACCTTGTCTATGAAGAAATCAATGACAGGAAAGACGTCATCAATAAGTAATGGGCTTGGTCTGTAGTACAGCAGGCATTATTTTTAATCACTATAACAACATGTTATTCTGTCACTTTTGGAACAGTGTAGTATTATGTAATAGTCTTTTGGTGGTGTCAGTGCTGATTTCTGTAGGAACAAGGTAATATAAAGTGTTATTGACACAGCCATTTTAATTCTTGTTTTCATTAAATAGTATCCACTGGTATCATGTCATTCTCTGAGATAGACTTTTCAGTTGTATATGTACAGGTGTACATAAAGTGTAGCATTAATGAAGCAGCAAATTATAAGTAGTGAAAGTGGAAGTCCTAGAGCTTAAGAATTCAACTGTGCACGCATGCAGCTGTCATCAACAAGTTTAGAAAATCTACTGTCGTTAAAATGCCAAATTGCAGAAAGATTACACTTATTCTGAAGAATTTGATGCACGTGTCTTATGTGCCTATTTAGTTTGCACAATGATATACAAATGACAGAAATGGGTCCATCTTAAAAATTCATTTTAGGAGAAATGTGGGCCAAGGTATTGATCCCTTGGGGGTTAAGTAAATATCTTGAACGCACGTGAAGTTGGAATATATTTATATGTGTCCGTGATGTTTGCAATAGCAAGTACAGTTCAAGTCTTGTTTGGAAATCCAATCAATTGTACGCATTAGTGCTTTGAACAGAGTCTAAGTAGACTCCAGAGATTAGCACCTTCTGAAGATGTTATCGATCACACTTTCAGGAAGATTCACATTGAAGGTAGAAAGATTGGTGAACTCCAAATAGTGTGATAATATAAAAATAATCATATTGTCATGAAATGTCAGATATTGATTTTATGAGCATTGATTGAATGTTGTATTGCACTTGATGATACTTTTACAGGTCAATGAAGTTGCCACTGGGTATTGAAAGAAAAGTATCAGAAACGTGTTCTAAATCTGCACCACATGCAAAATCCTTAAAGAAATTTTAGATGCAATTTATTTGATACCCAGTGTAAGCTATTGAAATCTCATTTATTTGTTTAGAGCTGCATCCGCTGCATTGTAGGCTCTAAGGTTCAGATAGAATTTTGATCTTCTTTTCCAACTAATGAAGTGAATGTGATTTAAACATATCCTTTCACTGTTAATTGATTGGCAATCAACAAACTCTCTACTCCCTAGGTCTTAAATGTACATCTGTTGCTAGTGTTAGGCCACTTAATATTGACCACAAATTTCATTAACTCCAGACAAGGTCAAAGAAGTTATCAATATTGTTATCTAAGAGTTAGTATTGAAATCTCCTAGAAGGCATATCCATGTACATATAAGATTGATTGAGTAGAAACTTAAATGATTAACGTAAAGGTCACCAAAAAGCGTCTGCTTTTAAAACCCTCTGAAGTTATATAACTGTAAATAACATTGCTTATTGACTCTTCTCTACTCTTTACATCACTGTTTATAATGCTGATGTGAATATTATTATTATTATTATTTCCAGTTGACAATCGTAACAAGAGGTGTCTGGACAAGAACAAACGTGATTTCTCATACTTCAACCAGCCAGATGCTTTCCACAAACCCACCATTTCCTCACAGCTGGCTCTGGCAGCATACCAGTTCCTATCTACAAGTAACAGAAACCTTAAATTTTGTTTTTTTTTACAATTATTTGTATATTTTATTATTTCGTTAACTATTTATGGTAGCTTGTTCATTTATAAGATCATCTAATTATTTACTCTTTTTCTTTTTTTTTACTGCTTATTCATTCATTAAAATTTATTTTTAAAAAAATGTTGATTTATTAGTGGGGGCCGTATTGTGCAGAATAATCTGTTTGTAGAAATCACTGCTATTTTGGTTAGATATTTACAGTTTTACTTATGAAAAATATGATCAGGGATATGTATCTGTGGAAATGATACAGACTAACTTCTAATTGATACACAATCCCATGAATCATATACATTGCTATTGATTAACTTCCAAGGCATGAAACACAATAAATCAATAGATTTTGCAGATATCTATTGTTATTCAGAAAGCATAGCAACATGAACACTCAGCACTTTTTTTATTGTTTGAGACAAAGGTGCATTTTTCAGTGTCATACTATATTCACCTCCAACTTTTCCTTTATAATACAAATGTATTGATGACTTCACTCATTTTAAAGGGTAAAAGTTATGCAGTAATGCAGGTAAAAGTTGCTTTCTGTAACATGATTTGAGTGGGGCTTATATGACACTTTTGATAAATTGAAAATTATATTAAAGGTCATGAGACCTCAGTTACCAAACAAAACAAAACAAAACAAACAAAATTACACGAGACCCACATATACATGATATAAAACAAAACAAAACAAAACAAACAAAATTACACGAGACCCACATATACATGATATAAATGGAAGTTAAATTTTTTCATTTTAGCCGTGGAGCCATTCAGGGAAGACTTCATCTCTAAGCACGTCCTGCAGCGCTTGATTCGACAAGACATTGCAATAAACCATGTCTACACTGAAAACAGCAACAACTTCATCTACGTGCGGGGTAAAGTGGCCGACTACTTTGTTCTGCTTTTACAGGGAAAAGTAGAGGTCGAGGCAGGCAAAGAAAACATGTTGTTTGAAGGGGGTCCTTTCATGTACTTTGGAATACAAGCTCTCACCAATGGTAGGATCTTATAGCAAATTTATTGCACCTAGACTCAGTCCTGATATTTTGAAGAGTATGCTGCTATGATGTTTTGTTATTTTTTGTGTTTTGTATCTGCAAGCACCCACAATTAATAAAAATCTTGATCAAAGAAGTAATATAGAAATAATTGACCTGGGAATCAAACCTAGAAACAGCACTTCACATTATCAATACATATTTGACAAGTAAATTATTGTGTAGCAGGTTAATATTTTACAATATCCCAGGCACATTGATAAGGTGCTGATAAGTTATTTATTTGGTAGGCACAGAGGTGATCTTACATAAGCCTAGGCTTCTATGATTACCCACTTGTATAGAGATGATACTTGATAATGAAGTGCTGTTTATGATAGCCTGGTCTCTCTGTAACATGAGAAAATTATAAGCAAGTGCTAAACACATTCTGATATTTGGCTGAGAAATAAAAAAACTTAATGCCATGTCATTACAAGTATGTTTCTCGCCACATTGATTATTGATTGAGATAATCAACTTTTTGTTTTGGCTAAGTTATTAAGCCATTTGGCTTTAAATATTTTTCTCTTGGGTTGGCAAAGAATAACGTTCTGTTTGAAGAGGCCAGACTGATACTACTAGCTGCAAAGAAGACAGCAACTGGGGTCAAATATTGCACACACCAATGTTTGTTGTAACATTTAATGATACTGACATCTTGTATGATTGCTTGAAATGAAAATCAAAATATATTGGTACACCGAATTTTATGGAATCCCTGTAAATATTACAACACAAACTATATTTAAATAAAAATGAAGTTAATGGAGATTTATTTTTATTCATTCAACAGCAAGCAGCCGCTCCCTTCCAAAACATCCCAGTCTTAGCAGCATCAGCAGTACAGACACAGCAGCATACAACCGGCCAGCACACTATGTACCAGACTTCTCAGTGAAGGCCACCATGAATCTGCAGTACTTGAAGATTACCAGGGCACAGTATATAGCCGCCAGGAGGGCCACCATGGTAGAAAGACACCCCCGGAGCCCAGCAGCAGCAGGTAACAATACCCTAACGGATGACACCTTTGCTAAAGAGTGGAAGCGTGCTCACTCGCATGAATCCCCCGTGACTGTGCATGCATCACAGGAGCATGACTTGAACAAGTCGTTTGAAGTGTCCCCCTTGGGAGAAGGCAGTGAGAGGGAGTTCACCTCAGATACTGATACTATCGACCTTAAACTGGACTCCTACAGTAATGAGATCCCCCTTACGCATGACCAGTCTAAGAACAGCAGTGAAAACACAAAGCAGGAAACCACGGAGAGATCGACAGTAAGTGCAAGTCTTTCATTTGATAGTAGCATGCCAAAGGTGGCTTTGCAAATTCAGGATACCCCAGTGTGAGAGATCATCCCTGGTTAACAAATTTGAGTAGTTTACAAAGACAGAAAGGGATGATCGGCTAGCTGCTTGCTTGCGTTGGCAATATTTACCCTCAAACCTGTGATTGATTAAGCCAAAATGATTAAGCTAAAATGATTATTCCATACGTGTATTCAATGGTGATATAGACTTAAATGTATTGTTGTATCTCACTGTGCCAATTGTTGTAGCCAGTTCTTTGCATGGGTTGTGATAAAAAATGTTCAAGATGATATTTAACTTTATTAACATAAATGTTGTTAACTGGAAATGGGTAGATTTCTGTATGAGCTGCATACATCATTGTCAACTATCTAATTTAAAAAAAACTTATGTTAATAAGGTGAGTTCAGAATCTTCTTCATGACCATTGCAAAAGTTTTTTTTTTGTCAAATGTGTTGCTCAGAACTGCAAATATGTGTAGAACCCTGCTAGTTTGCTTTCATTTGTTAAAGAGAGCGGACAGGTTGCACTTTATTCCTAGAGCTGCTTTAAACTAATTCAGCTGCTTTTATATAAACTAGAGCTTGGATTCCGAGCAAGTATATATTTTTTATTTAGAGACACTTGAAACAGCTGAAGTTGATAAAGATTTGAACAGTAAGCTCACTGAACTTGGTGCTGTTCCTTTCTGTTCCCTTGAGTATATACGGATAATTTAAGTTTGTAATTAGGTCACTGACTGTTAAAAATAAGATATTATGGAAGAAAATGTTGACAAAAGCATGACATTTTATGCATGCATGTTTTAAAGTGCGTGCTTGAAGGTAGGTCTCAGTTATACAAACATATTTTTCCTCAGTAAGATTTATCCAGGTAAGGTATGCATTTGGTCATTGGCTAACAGGTATTGTTAGTAATACAGCAGATTTGCTAAGTCATGTTTATGGTAGGTATGGAGTCTTGGTGAATTTGGTCACCTCCTTAAAAATATGAGTATTATTGGTATATTAGTGTGGCAAGTATAATAATAGGCCAGAGAGGTGTAAAATATAGTTTTTGCACAGCCACACCAGTTTTCTAGTCTAGTCATTTAGATATGCTACAAGTTTAGATTTATGTGTGTTACGGGTACTCTCTACCAGGGCGACTTATAGATTTTTATGGATATTCACAGATATGTCTCTAGCTAGATAGATGGTCATTTTTAACTGAAGTCACATGACTTCACATGAATGTGAATATCCGTAAAAATCTATCAGTCGCCCTGGTAGAGGGTATGTTACGGGGCTGTGCGCACACATACCGGTACCTACACAAACATGCATGCACACACATTTATATTATTTGTTGGCAAGGTAGTGAACTTGCCTTAATTTGACTTATCTCTCCCTGTCAGATTGCTTGCCACTCAGACCTGTAAGATTTTTTGTTTAGAGCGGGAGATTTATGTAGTATTTATGAAAGGTTTAATTTGAAATGATTGTCAATATGTGATGTACCTGTGTTTAATTCCTTTAAAAAAAAACAGGTCATCACAATATTTGAAATTCCATTTTGCCATCAATTGCTTCCCACTGCCTTCCATCCCCTATGCCCATTCCTCAATGCCAAATAGCTTTTCCACAATGCCAAATTGAACATCTTTTCCTGAATGCCAAAATAAACTTATTTTCTTCAATGCCAAACTACTGAATGAATCAGTGTGAATTTGCCACTTTTGTGTTTACTAGGTTGAAAGCACATTTTGTTTGTTATTTCTGAGTTGGTTTGTTAACAGACAATTTGCTATACATATGTTAGATTATTTGATTTATTTTCAAAGACTGAAAATGGGTTAGAGAGAAACGTGGTGAAAAAATGAACAAAGCCATAGACCATGCAGAATATACAGTAAAATAAACTTTTCAATTACTTGATCTAATATGCCATTCCTCTTTGTTGAAAATATCATTTAGTCACATTTTTTTAAAATTCTTTTTTAACTTCCTCTTTAATGAAAAGAAATACAAAATATGATGCAGCGTGATGTTCTTACCAAAGCCCAGAGTGCCAACATTTGTTAGTGATTGTGTTCATAATATAAGCATTTAAGCAATTATTTTTCAGTATTGTTTTTACTTAATATTCTTTTAAATTTTAATCTTAAGCTTTAAAACACACTCATCATAAAATCTAACCAAAGAGGCCCGCCAGGATCCTCGTATTGCTTGCTTGTCAATGTATTGTTGGGTGATGGTTCTTAAAAGGTGCATGGTTATGTTGTTATGCATGTTTTTTTGGTACTCATAACCCCTTTTCTCAACTTTTGTTAGGTTATGCATGATACATGAAACCTATAGTGTATAAGATTTTTTTTCAAGTATGTTGTGTTCACTTACAATAAGAAAAGTTTCCAAATGTTCTTTTATATTTACTTGGGTATTTGCTAAATTGCTTGACCATTTATGTTCCATGCTGGTCATGTTTGTAAATGAGACTTATTGAGTTGGTGCAGATGCGTATAGTGCTATATCATTGTGCTATAGCTGCCAAAGTTTTTGATAATTTTATGATTAATGCATTGTTCATTTGTTTTGTTTTCTTGTAGCTGCTGTAAGCAAAGATAGAGAACATGGCGATGAGTAAAATATGAAGAGCTTTGATTAACTTAATGCTGGATATAAGAAAATGAAGAATGTAACATGGTTTGTGATTGTAAGACTTCTGTTAACTGAACTCCTTCTACTATAATTAGTTTTAGCCAAATCAAATGCTAACAAATGCAAAAAAATATTCTTATTTGGCTAATTAAAATGTGAAAAAATATTTTGGCCTTAGTTTTGATTAATACATTTCAGAACTTTGATTTGGCTAAAATTAAAAATTATGTAGCTTTTTGATTAAAGAAATCCTATCCTTCAGTGAGCCTAGAAAAAATTTTTTTCCCAAATAATCTCTTTTCATGATAATTATAAGTCATTTGTTCTTCCCTGTAACTGCATTCACACAAGGGGCTGTCTGACAGTAGAAAGTGACTAAAACATTCTTTTGGACAGAAAACAGCATACTCACTTGGATGCTCTGCTGTGCAGAGTGCTTCTGCTCATTGTATTGGTTCTGGATGATGTTTTGAATAGCAATTCAGTCAGTTATTTGTCTTAGGTGTCCCCTGTGTGAATGCATCAGGGAAGTGTCACCCTGAGGGTGAGAGAACTGCTGTTGGCCTTTCCTTCATATTACAGTTTCATTGACCTTATGTTATATACAGGAGGAGGCAGGGTCAGTTGTCTGATCATCAGGGTGAGAGGTGTTTATAACTAGGAGGAGATTCAATGACATTGCAGGTCAAAGGTAATGATTTAAAGACCACTGGATGTCGGTGTTAAGTCTTGTTGTCGAAATTTTAACCTAAACCAGTAGTTACACAGAGTAGCAATTGTACTTAAACTTGACAAAGACAGGAATTATACAGTTATTGAAACAAAAATTATCTAATCATAATTCAGCTCAAACTTTGTTTAAGTTAAACATAATGAAAATATGACTTCAAACAATAGCTAATATTTCAGCGGTATGCTTTTCTAAAACAAGAATTGCAGCATTTCTTTTTCGAAAACAAGATACGTATATATGCTATGTTTTTTATAGTTCATTTTATGGATCTAATGAAATTCGTTTTCGTATGAGAACTTTATCTAATTTTGTTGAATGTTGTTTGCAGTGTTCCTTTAATTAATCAATCATAGTTTATCTCATTTTGAGCTATGTGCTATTGTATTTTTGTAGAGATTGCACTTCTTTCTTTTATATTTGTTTATTGGGGTGATTGTCCCTAGTTGAAAAAGTGATGATCGAAGTTAATTATTTATGTTCATTGTTGTTGACAAATACACAAAAGTACTGTAAAATATTTGTTAAATATAATATTAGCAATTAAAATAGATTGTTAACCGCCTTGTCACCTTTTCTTCGAACAAGCACACTACGGACTCGATGGTAGTTTCGTACGTCGTGCATTGTATATATCACTCACAATTCTGTACAGATATTGAAATACAAAGTCTAAGTACATTCTAAAAGGAAATAATACAGTCACACGACACAATAACTGATATAAAATTTTGTGCTTCTTCGTAAAACCACAGAAGCATTTTATTTTGTATTATTCAGAAAACCTCTTTATATGCGATTGTTGCTGTTCATACTGTACATTCTCTTTGTTTGTATATGTCCCGTACTCGTTCCTCCAGTTGTTTGATATTTTAAATCGGTTGTTTAAAACGCAATTATGAACTTATTTGCATTTCCAATAAATAAATAAATGAATAAACAGAAATCAATACATTGATGAAGGATAAAATAGTTTTAATAGATGTTAAAGATACATGAATCTCTTCTCTTCTATCTCTTCTGTTTTGGACAAAAAACTTAACCAAATGTGTAAAAAATACTGCTCGTTGGAAAAAAAGTTTCGCATTTAAAGATGAGGAAAATATGTATTTTCAAAAAGCCAGTGGGACTTGCTACCTTGAGCTTTACAAAGATAAGCATTATTAACACTGTAAGAACCATATTGAATTCTATATCGAAGTGCCACTTTATAACTGCTACACACAACTGTGTAATATTGTGCACCATTACTCGGGTAGAGCTGGAGGCTTCAAAGGGACGATTAAAACGCTATTCAATGATGCGATTTGCTTCAAAAACTGAAATCGTTAACAAAACAACGCAGCATTAAGTTTGATTGATACGTTATGATCTAATTCCTTATCTGTCCAGATAATTTATGAGATAATGCTGTCACATTAAAAATACATCAGGTGAATTTGCTAATTCGAACTGATGACGCAACAGCAGCGTGTTTGTGTTGATAATTTTGGGTTCGATTTCAAACAGGGCCCCGTAACTCGGAAAGCATCGCGCATTGCGACCGAGCGCAAGCGTCTCGATTCCATAACTCGCCCATATTCGCACTTTATAAATTATAATACATTGTAGCCTCTATGTGATATTGCTATTCGCGATGAGCGATCCTTATGAGTTACGGGGCCCAGATGTCCTTCACCTGAACAGCTATCAACACCGTTTTAATCACAAGAATAATCACTGCAAACCGGTGCCAGGAAAATCTTGAAAGGCTTATTTCTGATCTAACCAGTAAATTGGCAGAAGTATACATTTGTTTGATGGAACAAGTATTTAGAGGCTCATTCCTCATCAAAAGAAAAAAAAAAAAAAACTCTGGCACCGAATTGCATTTCACGTCGCTAACCACGTGCCAATTTTCTTCCTATCACCATCTTACCCCAATTTACAAAGCAGTTAAACCGAAATTTAATGGGGGCAGAACTTGTGGAAGGTGAATAAAACAACAAAAAATTAATAGCTCTAAAAGTGTCTAATTTTAACTGCACCTATATAGGCCTACAGGTAAGCATATTTTTCATAAAAAAGCGGAAAAAGCTATTTTGACCAATTCAGGCCACTTAAACGTATCGATCTACCATTAAAGACAAGAAAAATACATTTGTTTTGCGTGTGCAGTAGATTTAACAAGGAAGAGGTTATAACAAAAGACGTGACTCCCATGAGAAATTTGCAGTTTCCATTTTGAGAAAACGCCAACAGGAAAATTGATGGAAATTATATTACAGGTTATGAAGCCTTTTAGGTACCGTCTGACCAGACAACCGTTATCTGCATACCCTCAAATATGGTGTACTGTTCTCTTTCACGACCCTGTGATTTTTGGCATGATGGAAGCCAAGTACGTCGTAACAAACCCAATTTTATCTCTGTAAAATGGTGCGTACATTATCATATTAAGGATGGAAGGGATAAAGAGCTGGAACACAGTTACCCTCTAACGGGACCGCGGTTTTATTATGTGAACAGAAGAAAAGTTCATCGTTTAACGAGAGACTACAGCCATGTAGTTGTAATCTGTATCGTGACTGACTTAAACGATTCCTGTTTCACGGCTAATCTAATATCTATTGCATGACCCTGAGAGTAGTAACAATGGGATCTGGAAACCACTTTGGAGAATTAATCATATATTCTAACAGATTTTCTGAGAGCACGATGATACCTTATTACCGTTATTGTCATAGGAGATAAACTCAGAAGACCAGATGTACCGGTTACGGCAGAAATCACGCATTTCTGCAAGACTATTGAAAATTAATGGTGCGGAATAAATAAGTAAAATATTCAAAACATTAAATTGCTTTATAAGTAACGAAACACAAAGTATATGTTGTATGTATTGATGTCAGGGATGCTCGTCAACGATCCTCCAGTGACAGGCATTCGTCTGTTACAGAAATTAAAGCAGACTGTTCACTCAAAGTTTCTCACAGAGCATTTTTACCCGATAATATTTGTGACAAATGGCTATGGAGATAGATGGATTCAAGGTCGTTCTTTTATTTTTGTGGGAACACACCTGCATATAATATAGGCACTAATGTGTCATATTGCTCCGCCTCTCAACTAAGTAATCATTTTCCGCGCGTGCATCTAGAGAAGTATTCGTTGAAAATTTCCCTTTAACGACTATTAGTTAATCAATATGAAAAGCAATGCATATTTACCAAACCAGGCAAAATAAAATGTAGAGCCGTTATACAGGGTACGTAGCACAATCATCTTCTGGGAAATAAGATAGCAAGCCTACACCACAATTTGTGGATACCATTTAGGAAAAACTGTCGTGAATCAGGCGACGCGGTACCTTTGGCATATACATGTATTACCGCGAAACGACAAAACAAAAGACACTGCTTTGTGTACTGGAGACTTGTTTTCTTACTGTTAGGATTATAAAACTTTTCGGTTATGCTGCCAAACAAAGTCAATTCGTATATTCTAAAACATATGTAAACATAAAAAAAAATGAAAAGAAAAGAAAAGAAACAAGGCGGTTTGAAGGAGAAACCTGGTGAGGAAATGCGTGGACTTCGATGAGTAATAGGGCCCGCCCCTAACCACGTCAACGCTTGAACGTTTCAACGTCAATCGGGAAACTAGTAAATGGCTTATGCACACCCCGAGGATGTGTCATCATATACATATATTATGTCATCGTACATATAAACGTGCATTAATCAGAAGGGTATTGTCAATATATAAATATACAACACTGAAGATATATTTTTATATCAGGAGAGGTGAAACATAATAAAGAAAGCCCTCTCAGCGCGACAAATGTAGCGAGCAACCAGGGACGTTTCCAGTTTCGAATAAGCACACTTGTACATCTTTATATGAAAAGAATTTAACGAGAGAAAAGTTTACAGGGAGATATTTGTACAGTTTACGGGGATAAACTGGACTGAGATGATGGTACAGCCCCACAACGCCAATCAACATCGTCCCCTTATCTGGAAAGAATAATTAATGAAATGACGTTTTCCGAAGACCGCTTTTCAGACAAATGTCATGTAAGTGGTAAGTGGTCAATAGATGATGTAGTACACGGATGCTCGAGTTCACTGAATGCAATCTCGCCGTTTCGGTCGCAGCAAATTTTCATCTGTGTCAATATCAACACCGGGTTGGACGGTGTCATTGGCGTGCGGTGGAAAACAACATTTTTTATAGGAAACATGTTTTTGTGGAAAGCGTGACCCAGAAGCGAAAAAGAAGTGCAACGGCAAACGTAGTGTATGAAAATGACTGAACTGCGTCGGTTAACCCAGATTATCATCTTTAACGTCGATTTGATTAACAGATAACAGACACTCCTACGACACGCGAGACAGTGGCGAATTAGAAGCATACACTTGAAAAGGAATTGCTTTTACCAAATGCTAGAAATACCAGGCAAACAAAAGTATTGACAAACTAAAGATCAGTATTGTAATGCGTTGAACTTGCATAGGTTTTTGCAAAAATGGCGTTCCATGGTCGACTGGATAGTAGCACTAACAGAGTGTTTCAGGAGATATTTGCCCAAAGATACCAAACCAAAGAGGTAGAAGCGGCCTATCTGAAGGCTGCCGAGACTGGAGACTTGCTGTCAGTTATAAGCTTTGTTGTGGACAGCAATGTCAATATCAACTGCGTCGACTTTATCGGCAGGAGCGCGTTGGAACTAGCCGTTGAAAACCACCATTTAGCAATAATTCAATATTTGTTTCCAAAATGCAGTCTAGAGTGTGCCGAGAATGCTCTCCTTCTTGCGGTAGACTCGGGCAACGTTCAGATCAGCGAAATACTTTTAGAACATCCCTCATTCAAACACACAAAAGTTCACGTGGAGAGCGGTCCTGGCGAAGGAATATACCGAAAAACGGCTGAAAACTACCGGTTCGCACCGGAAGTGACTCCAATCATCCTGGCTGCCCTCAAGAATGATTATTACATAACGCAGCTTCTTTTATCGCGGGAGTTTAGAATTACGACTCCCCATGTATATTTCTGCGAGTGTACCTCGTGTAGCAACATGCGACGGTTTGACTCGGTGAAGTACTCCCGCTCACGCCTCAACACGTACAAAGCTCTGGCCAGTCCTGCCTATTTAACTCTGTCTGGGGACGACCCTATATTTGAAGCATTTCAATTAAGCCATGAACTGGAACACTTAGCAAGCGTGGAAAATGAATACAAGGTTTGTATTGAATGATTGTAGAATGAGAGCCTTGATTGTTATCCTGAGCCCATCAGCGTTATTTTATTTTGTACTTGTACCCAAAAAACCTCGAGACCTACGGGGACTTCATTGCTTATCGTAAACATCTCCCCGAGAACTACATCCCATTTGTCACGATTCCGCCCACTATCTCCTTTCTCTTCTTTACCACCATTCTTAGCTTACATAATTTTTGTATTCTATGTCAGAATATCCAAGCCCACGTTATCAGTTAATCTCCTAGTATCATTATTATGAAATATGAAGCTTGTTTCCAATGTCATTTACAGAGGGACATATTCACATTACCCTTGGTGCAGGTGCAAGGCAAAGGGAGCCGTGTTCAAGTCGTCGAAAATGTTTTTGGAAATACTTAAGTTCAACATGCAGAATTGTTAATTCTACCGATTTCTTAAAAATAATAATAATAATAATAATAAAAAATCAGGCAACAGACGTTTAAACGTAAATTTACCCTTTCATTATTTAAGATTGAATAATTGTGAAATATTTATAAGTGAATACATCAGAAAATCAGCAAGAAGCTAAATTGACAAGATTATAAATTATAAATAGTGAAAACAATGTGTATATCTAATCGAAACATTTCTCTGAATGAAAAATATTTACGTTGCAGTTAAAACAATCACCATTTTGAAAAAAAAAAAAATACAGTGCGAGACAGCCAAATGTAAATGGAAACTATATACATTATGTAAGACAGGGTGGTGTTGAACAGGCAGGTATGTTTGTGATTGTCATTTAAGTTACATATGGTTTGTTGTCTATTGTCGTCGGTTGTCGGACACCAAACAAGGAGATATTCCCGTAGTGGTCACGAAAGCATATGTTGCTGTCTGGTGCCCCGTGCTTTCCCATATACATCTCTGTTAGTCATAGTTGGGCAGATTTTCAGTTGGCTGATCTGAAGTGTTGTTCTTCTGTCTAAACTTCTGTAGTTAGTTGTTATTAATAAATAATTCCCCTTCTGGTGTGATGGTTGTATTCAGGTAGCCATTTGGAACATTTTGCTTAATTTCATTCTGTACATGATTGTCAAATAAGAATGCAAACTTCTCACTATACAGTATGTACGTATTACATTGCACAACCCAAATGAAAGAGGTTTCCGTTGTTGCAAATCTTCTGGGGTTTTAAGTAGCCTGTAAAAATGGCGAAAATAAATGTACACACCAGAAATGAATGCCTGGGTTTGTAATATTACCCCTATATTAGGTTAAACACAGCTTGGTTTCTCTGTGATTCTTATGTTCTAAAAGATGTGAAGCAACTTGTAGTATCCAATTTTCAATGGTCACCAAGAAGTGAGAAAAAACAATGGACCTCTACGCAAGTAAGGATGAATTGCTGTTATCACCACTACCATTCAATAACGCTTACAATGGGACTGAGTGGAATATACACTGTACTTCCTATCATTTTACGATATTGATAAAATGATCACTCTCAACTGCATTGCCGTGCATGAGTACCTCAATGATAACGCTTTGTTCTCGCATGTATGAATTTATTTGCAACCTATCGTTTCCGTTTCTTAGTACACACGAAGCGCAGCAATTCACCAGCAGATTCTGTCTCGATTACTCTAAAGTGCAACTGACATTTTTCCACCACAGGCCGAAAACTGATTCAATAGTAGATGCAGCTCAGTATAAAAATGTCGCTGTGTTGTTCGGTGTGATCGAATCCTAAGAAAAAAAATCTCGATCTCACAGGAAGCTAAAAAGCACACGGACTTTAAATGTTTTTGTCTTTGTTTACGAAATTGATTATTCAACAGAATACTAGTAGTGTAGTGTGTTTAATATACCACACGTAACGAAAAACATACTTGAACAAGTACACAAATGGTACATGAAAATTCAGAATAGAAGACTCTACATAAAAGTAGAAAAATGGTCGTATTGGATTCCCCGATCAATACTTGTACACGCAGCAAGTTAGATGGTTTGTTGACATATAGGCAAACATTTTGGTGTATAGTTATGAAAGAAAAAAAGATAAACATGCCCTGAGAATAACAACAAAGATTAGTTTTACAGGTAAATCACCGCACGCAGAGATGTTCTGCCAGCACGACCGACATCACTTTAGATATTAGTTTTTCCTTTTATTTTGTTTGCCGCCATTTATGTTCATCAACCAGAAAATCAGGAGAAAGGATGAACAGCTGCATGTATGTATAGATCACTGGCTAACAATGTACGCATTTAATTGATGGCTCTGTCACGGGGTTCATTTTTTTTTCAAATCATGACAAACCTAAGCTTCCAGAACCTTCCGACCATCAAGCTCCAAGCACAGAACAAAAAGCTCTTTGTCCTAGTTTGATGGTGCGCCGGTAATTATCTGACGAAGCATTTAGCAAAATGTACAAAGCCAGCTAATCAATTTGCTGAAGACTATCAGGTACTAGATCACGAGGAAACCACTTTCATTTTCAGCATTTAATTTACGTTTTTAATGCCTGAGTATGCATGTTACGGAATTCCTGTCGCTACCTTGGTTCATCCTAATCAATCTCCCTAAATATACCGGGTACTAGCCAACATACCAGGCAATAATGGTGGGTGTGATCAATTAAGCATTTCTGATACATACAGAAGATGGAATGCTACCTTTTTCTCTCTTTTTTTTCAAATGCTTGCGGGCTAATAGGAATTGTACTCATAGCATTGTAAAAAAAAAACTTTAACAATGGATGTCATTTTCCTCCTTCACAATCTATTCAGCATAGGCCTAATGAATACATGTACATGGAAGAACAAATATATAGATTTTCATCATTGAACTTAATGTCTGAAACCACTACATGTATATATTAAAAACACAATATCATAGGCACATCCAACGGAAGCACTTGCAACTATTTTAGTATAATGAAATGAAACTGACTAACTTCCTGAGTTTGATGTTAACGATTTAAGAATTGCCTTTCTTGTTTATTTTCATTTGTTATATTCTAGAGCCAATACCTAGCGTTGAGTGACCAGTGCAAGGACTATGCTGTGGAGTTTTTGGACTTGTGCCGCACAAACGAGGAAGTCATGGCCATACTTAACGGAGACGTTCAACCAGGAAGAGGCGAGGATGATGAAATGGATGACGAAGATATTTTAGCGAATGGATTCGTCCGACTTAAAATGGCACTAAAATACGAGCAAAAAAGGGTATGTATTAGTTATTGGCGTTTTAGTTTCGAAGGATCTTTTGCATATTTATATCAAACAGCTAAAAGGATTAGTTGTGGAAGATACCTGCTGCTACAAGACAGAGCACCGCTGTTTCATTTTGTAAAGACAACGTTATGAAAAGGAAATCAAGGGTTTACCCTCATATTATCCATATTTCATTTAGTTCTACATGTATTTGCACCGAGAGGGTTAATTATATCACGGCGGTTGTTAAGTAATCCACTAATTGATATCACGAAGCAAATCCATTTAATCAGGCAAAAGCCTAAGCATTGATGACACAGGTGGTGCACTGTGAAACGGTGGCACGCTAACTGAAGACGACTCGTGTTCTAATTGATATTTTGTCAAATCATTCCGTTCCATTATGAAAAAAAATCAATATATCAGATCTACTTGAATGTAGCAGATGTGTCCAGTTATTAATTGTTGAAAAATGGATATTAAATGTATGATAATATCATTGTACGGACATACAAAGGTATCTGTGTTATTTCATGATAAACAAAAAGAGAAAAAGTCATAAAGAGAAAATATTGTGCACAGTTCTCTTTGTCTTCGATGTGCCTCTTGTCATTTATGTTGAAATGTTTTATCTTCATTACTTCAAGTTCACATTCCTTCTCATTTTATTCTGTGTTACAAGCTAAGTGCATTAGACTGAATCATTTGCACAAGGCGACCGTTAATTTCCTAACACGACATCCGATTTAACCATTTTCATACATATTTGTACAAAGTGCCTGTAACTTCAAATTGTCGACCCGAACGAGCACAGTTCCTATTTTATTACTCCCCAGCTACTCGAAGAAATATATATAATGTTATTTCCGTTTCACCTCAATACTTATTACAGAGTAAGACGTTAACTAATTTGCTTTTGCCTTCAGTTCATTGCCCACGCTGCTTGCCAGAGACAGTTATCACTACTGTGGTATTCCTATGTCCCATGGGTGCGTTACCGGAGTCAGCTTACCATGATGGTCATATTACCTCTGATCATTCTCATATGGCCTATTGCATGTACTCTGTACATTCTGTGCCCTCTTAAAAACAAGGTGGGTATTTGTGTCTTTACGCAAAATTAAAAAGTCATAAGTTTCAGGTGAGGTGATTAATACAAATATTATTTCGTATATATCATTGCGACAGAAAAGGCTTTAAAAGCCTGAAATACATGTTAGCAATAGTTTGACAGTCCGTTAGCATATCTCATATCTCTTTTGGTATAGTGACTTTCAATGTACATTGTAGGAGCAAGTCGAATCTGTAATGACAGTACAGAGACGCTGATATGGATATGGGAAATGATATCATTGTACTCTTGAAAGAAAAACCTATGCTTTTGTATATAATATTTTCCTGAGGTAATGTACATGTAGCACTTGTTGACATAGGTTCCTTAATAGGGCCTATTGAGTTTATCCTCGGCCGATTTTTTTCGTGAACACCTTGGACTTAACTAAACATTTATCGACGTGTTGTGATCATCGACAAAGATTAAGTTGACGTTTTATTAAAGTTAATCTTCATATCAAATGACTTTATTATATACTTTGTGGTGTACCTACAAACTGATTGATGTATTTCTATGATAATAAATAACCGGTAAATACACTTGACGTAACTATATGTACAGTGTAGCTGGTTAAGTCTCATTCAACTGAAAATAATATAGTACAGAGCCTACGCGTTAACATTTAATTTGTCCTCTTAAAACATGTGATATGCTCTTACACACAAGTCAGTAAAATGATATTGTTAAAATCAGGGAGATAGGAAATAAAATGTCAGTAATATACATTTATAGATAGATTTATAAAAGGTTTCTTGATATATATAATGTACTGTTTTATTCGACTTTTATTGCCTGTACAGCATGTCTGTCTTTGAGATGCACGACATTTTCTCTCTTTGATCTGGTATTTATAAAAAAAAGTTGTAGTATGCTATACATATACACCGATTATTCAATAAATATTGGACTAGAAGGCGGTTGAATATCTTATAAACTTGTTTATTTTTTCAGTTCACCAAGATAATGCGAAGCCCATTCGTAAAGTTTGTCAACCACGGATACTCTTATTTCATGTTTCTTCTACTGATATTCATAGCCTCAATGATGAAAGGGCACATGTGGACGTTATTTCTGTGCGAATACAAAAATGAATTGCCCGCTTATATAAACCTGATGATTTTCATGTGGGTCCTAGGTGGGTATGGTCAGGGTTACTGGCACTATTTAGTTGTGCGGACGAATAAGAGGCGATTGCAAAGCTTAAATTTAACTTAGTGACATACACATGTATTTAAATGTATTTCTTAAGGCGAATTAACACAAAAGCAAAGCTCTCCACCCTTCAACCCCGGGGCTCTCTCTGTCCACTTAGCAATAACCGATTTTGAATATGTAATTTTTTTAAATACATAATGCTACTGGTATACCAGGAAGTTTGCCACTTTCCAGTTTAACATATATTTATTTTCATTTCAAGTATTGTTGATAATTATAACTAACATTCACAGGTATGCTGTGGTACGAGTGTAATCAGGTCTGGTCTCAGGGTTTGAAGGAACACTTTAAAGACTGGTGGAACTGGATGGACATGACTTTACTTGGGCTTTATATCGGCTCGTATGCTCTTCAGTTGGCGTTTGCCATTCAGTATAGGGAGGCATATTGCCTGCAACAAAGGCACAGCAACACTGCCTCCTACGACTGCGCAAAACTTGACTGCCTGGTCGAAAAGGGAAACTGCTCGTCTGTAACTTCTGTTTTCCACGCAAAAACAGGTGAGAATCATTACCACTTCAGTTTTTGCTCGACCTCAAAAATCTGTTGATTCCGTGTGTATTCATTAACGTACAACTTGGCAGACAATTAACGTACGAATTCTCTGGAAGTTGATAAAATATCATTCTTAAAAAGGGTAATAATGGTCAGTGTTGAGCTGGTGTAAATACAAATAATTCAACCTGTAATATATGGTATTGGTCTACATATCTGTATGGTAATGAGGCATGATACACAACTAGATAATAATAATACTGGCGTTGCAGTTTGTATAAGAGTAAAATATCTTTTGATACGTAGCATTAATTTCAATTTCTTGCTTGACTTCTTTGTACTTTGACAATCAATAATTTGACAAATCAATTACTCAATTAATATAAGAGCCCAAGCATTATTCGTTAAAATGGAAGGCCATTACCATAAATTATATTTTTGCAAAGATGACTTAATTAAAGATTTGGGCATCAATTTTGTTATATAATAGGCTTAATATCCTAATCATTCTAAATAATAGTTTGGTTTTTGTACTTATAGGCTATGTTGATCCGAATAAAGCGTGGGAAGCATGGCCCGATCCAAGACAGCTAGCTGACGTCCTGTACGCACTTGCTAATGTGATGAGCTTTACCAGAACGGCGTATCTGCTGCCTGCCAACGAATATCTGGGGCCGTTACAAATATCTTATGGAAAGATGTTACAAGATACTGTGAAGTTTTTTGTAGTGATTGCTCTTGTCTTTATCACGTTCATGGTGGGCCTTACAAGTCTGTACCAGGTCGACCGTTGTGAAAATAAGGCTTTCACATCGTTAGTATCAAATCTTGTAATGTTTTGTAGACCCTCGTTTATTGGTAATTATTCTATGGCGACTTTTCATCTATTAGACTACAAAATTGAGCATGCGATCCATGAATCGTGTAAAAAAAAAATGCGCAATACTGGAATCCGTTATGATAATTTGAACTGCTAGGCCTATTTACAAAGAATTTTGATGATTTGAAAAAATAAAGTAAAATAAAACCTAACCCAATAAGGAAATAAACACGAAATACAAGAAAAGCCTTACATATTTTAACAAATTTGGTTATCATTATCTTTTAGACCAATAGAGACATTCCGGAACCTGTTTTGGGCAACATTCGGCATGGGAAACATCATGGCACCAGAAATCAACGATGCCTATGTAAATTACATCCAGTTTTCCTACCATAAGGACCTATATGCTCTGACCGAGGGAGTGGGATATGTTTTATATAGTCTCTACATCATAGCGGTGGCCATAGTTCTCCTAAACATGCTGATCGCCATGATGAGCAACACATTTGAAGGTGTCTATGTAAGTATTTTACATGGACGAATGACAGAAAACAGGTTTAATGTGTATTTCAAAAGTGCATTTTGTTAAGTTTCTATATTCTTCATTTTAGTTCCTGAAGAATGCACACAAGCCGGAAGCGTAGGCGCTTTATATCTTATATAGTTGATCTTAATCAGGCCCGTAGCCAGCAATTTCAGAAGGGGGGATCGTTTTCTGAAAAAGTGGACCTTTTACTATAAAATCTTCAAGTACATAGATCAAATTTTACCCAGAGTGGACCTTTTCCCAGCAAAAAGGATGGTTCTTTCGAACCCCCCGAACCCCCCCTGGCTACGGGCCAGTTAATCTTAATCTAATTTTTCTATAAACAACCCAAAGTTATTATGAAGATTCAGAGAAGAGTTGGAGTAACTGGCGTTCACTCTCTGGGGAGGAGAAGAGATGAATCTCTGGATAATGTACATTGCCATAAAATTAAACACTTTGGCAGTCTAACCGCTTGCATAACAAATTGAATCCGTTCATTCCTTCAGCGTTTTTACCAAGAATGATGACAAGCCATTCATCATCGGCAGTATTTTACGGTACTGCATCCTGTGCTTATTGATCCCGTTATAATGCCCTAACTTTGTTTTATCCATTTACCTGTCGCTATGGCAGCATGTTATCCATGCAATTATGTATAGTTAACTGTAAATGTCATATTATCACCCTCCTTTCATCGATTTAATGAAATAGTTTTTCTATATTGGTATGGTCGGGGGTGACGTGAGAAATCCACAGCGTATACATGATGAAAATAATGCAACGTGTAACATTACGGATTCATTAATTTATCAAAAAGTGCTACATTAACATATTATTTTGTTAGCTACTCTGATTAAGTCAAACATCGTGGATCGCGGAGACAATCCCCTGTGAACAACCCCGTGCTCTTGGGCCATACGTGTAATGCAGGCCTGTAGCCAGGGGGGTTCGGGGGGGGGGGGGGTCGATCCCCTCTGGGTAAAATTTTATCTAGGTACACAAAGTGTTCATGGTAAAAGGTCCACTTTTTCAGAAAAATACCCTTTTGAAATCGCTGGCTACGGGCCTGCATGTAATTGTGTTATTTTCATGACCTTACAAATTTTATTCGATGGTGTATTGAAGGTCAAACGGACTGATGAGAAGCATACAATGAAAGTTTAAATTTCAACAGATTTATGTACTTATGTCTTATTATGTAATTAACTTACACTGTTTATTTTTGCCAGAATGACAGCGACGTAGAGTGGAAATTTTCACGCGCTGAACTATGGATGACATACGTGAAGGAATACAGCGCACTGCCGCCCCCTTTTAATATTTTACCCACATTTCGGTCCATTATTGAGAAGATCAGAAAGGCATGTAGGAAAATGTGTTGCAAGTGCAAGTCGGACGACGACATCTTAAGAGGATCACATTTTCCGGCCAATTACAGGGTATGTATCATGTATTCCAGATAGAAATAGGAATTGACTTGTATGTACCTTTCTGGCAAGACACACAGTTGTAACGTCCAATGTTGATTGTTGCCTTTGTGAAACGGGTTTAAAAAATGGAGCAGATATAATGGGAAATTCCCCATAAAAGTTAACATTTGAAATGATACTCAAAGATGCACCCTTTATAATCCTTACTTTATTGCCTTTATGTTTTATTTCTTTTTAAGAATCGCAAATTTGCTATTGAAGACAATGGGCCAATCGAGCTTTCATCATACAAAGTAAGTGTAAAACAGATATTTCACTGCTAAAAATCAAGTATACAACCAAGTGCGTAATTTTAATTAATTGATTAAAAGTAATTTTTGAACTCCATATCAGCAACATTCATTTTTCTCACACAATAATCACTGCAATCTTTATTGCAGCGAATTCTAAAGAGGCTGATCCGACGTTTTATCTATAAAAAACTTTACGACACTCTCGAGCAGGACGAAGGCAATAAAACTGGCATTGCACCTGACGGTAGGTTATTAAAATGACGTCTTCTGTGGCAATAATCCCACTTTGAAGTCAGAAATGCCGCTGTTGGAATTTTTTACATGGCGCCCAAAATATGTCGTTCTTATTTCTCTCGACATTTTCGGTGCTATAATTATTGGCAATATAACATGATTTTGGTCTTAAATGCCCGCCTAAAAGGTTTATGGAATAATGAGTCCCCGAGTATTTGTTGTGCCACGACGCGACCGGGGTGACTAGCGATGTTTTCCAAGGCTATCGGCGAGAACGGCATCCATTAACAAAATTAATCACTGGCCTATAATTTGATATGGACCTACTGCAAAATATCGGAAGAAACCACAGACTTTATATCTTTCCTTTTATGATTACAAAGACAATTAAATACAGCACTGTAAATAAAGAGAGGTTTTGTAAATAAAGTAATATGACTGAACATTTAGTTTTCAGAAATAAATACGTTGCGCATTCTGTTTTATTCTAGATCGAGAGGATATCCCAGGTTCCTCTGTCTTTGTGGATATAACCAGTCTTAGGGAAGGCATGTGGAAAATCTCTGAAGACATCACGTATATCAAAAGCGGCGTGCAGGAAAGCATCGACAATGTACAGAAGGAGAACAAGCTATTTGCTGACGAAATAAAGACATATTTAAAGGAGAAAAAACACCAAAACGGCTACGGAAATGATATTAAAGAAATTAAACAACAAGTAAGGACCCTTCAGGCGGAGATGAGTGAACTTGTAGAATTAATGAAAGCACATTTAAACACCACACAACCGTGTGACGTCACGTCACGTGATGGTGTGGTGCGAGAGGCAGCAGTACGTGGGGTGGCCGCATGTCACGTGCCTAAAGAGTCTGCAACTGATGATCATGTCAGAGAAGCTTCTTCGATGTAAAGTTATGTTAATGCGCTGACTGTGTCTGTGTTAAAACTCACGTAATTGTTTAAATACCACTGAGTTGACGGCGTAAGAAAACCCAGTGGGGACACTCGTTTCATAAATCTACAGTATTCTTTTTTGTTCCAAAAAGGACGTGACCCCGACGTGATTTGAACACGCAACCTTCTGATCTGGAGTCAGACGCGCTACCGTTGCGCCACGGAGTCCTCTATCAGAAAATGCAGCTATAATACACCTTGTCTGTAGAGTTGGGATAAACCATAAGATTAAAGATAACAAAATACAATTATCTTTGACACGCAATAACGCTAGTTTTACACACACACACACACCTAAGGCACAAACGCATTTAGATTAAAATTCCTCATTTAGAACTTGTTATAATTCGCTATTATGTCCAAGTTTCAACGGAGTAAGTAGCAGACCTCGAGATATTTTCACCAAAGAGAGAGAGAGACGCTGTCAGTCTCATATCGCAGCAAGGTTTTTTTTAGATGTTAGTGTCAATAATTAAAACTCCCTATACTCAAAATGCGTATTTTGTATTATTAGCACACTAAATGGTTACGGTGAGCGCGCAAGGCAAATTCTATCAACGCTACTCGTGTAATTCGCCAATATTCTCACCTTAACTTCATATTAAAAATTACTATTTTTAGAGGAAACAAAAGAAAATGCAATTTTCTTTGCTGATCAATTAAAACATGAACATGCAATGGGAACCAAACGATAGACTACTTCTATTCCAAAATACATGTATTTCGTAAATGTATAAATATGTCATCAAAATGCACTCAGCTAAATGAATGTCTAATATTAGTAAACCCAATGTAATAATATTACACTGTATAGACGAACACGAGTACACAACCAAAGTTAATATTCAATGATATTACGTCGTCCGAGTCATGTAATATTGACATTACTTAATATGGAACACAGCAGTCTGCATAGATCGATACAATTATATTCATAATCATAAACAACTTTCGAGTATAAAATAGACTGTTTCTTTTAAAACTGGTAACAATATTGAGTCTTTTCAACGACCTTAATAAAATTTATTTGACTTTTCAAACGAGACTTGCATTTCTTCTTTCTGAGATTTCAATGATACGCGTCTTTGACTTCTCATATTTTCTTGATTTGATTTTTTCTTATCAATTTGCACGGTCTGAAAAAAAAAACGAAGGTGAATGTAAATATTTCTTATATACAAGAATGAAATGATAAACATATTGTAGTGTATAAACAATGCGTGACACCGGCTTGGCACGTAATGATAACGTAATCAGCTGCAATTAGGTTCGTTCAAATAAAGAAAAAACTACATTTAATTAACGATTAGAGTGTACATACCGGGAGTTTATACATTTTGATTCTTTCAAAATGTAAATGTAAAATACGTTTAATTTTTATTGATTTAATTTAAAAGCGACAGGGGCCAGGATTTCAACTAAATAGCTAAACTGTAGCAAGTACTGGCTGGTCCCATTGTTTTCTAGCAACTATTTCAAATAAATAACCCATACCTCGCCTATGGCAAATTACACGCATGCAAAACTAAATTGATTTAATCTACTGAAAAAATATTAAGCATAAACTAACCATAGCAAGCTACAGCCTCTCATTAGCAACATACTCTTCGCCAGGGCCATCCGGTACGAAATCGTACCGTCCTGTGTGAGAACCCCCTTCTGGTGTCAAGTGACCATAGGATTTGTTTTCGTACACGTGACTCGGCTCTTCAGAACGGTGGATTGATTGCTCGTAGGCCGATTTCTTTTGCTTCATTTGGGCGCTGTGCAAATAAATTTGAAATAAAAACCATTAGTCCGCAAAGTTGAACGTAAAAGAGCTGGAGTCATGTAGTAGAATGAGGGCAAAGAAAAGTATGCATATAGAAAAAGTTTATTAGTTATGATTAGGACGAAAGAGAACAACAACAACAACAACAACAACAACAACAACATAATAATAATAATAATAATAATAATAATAATAATAATAATAATAATAATAATAATTTAAACCCCCGTGAGAAAGGGACCTAGACAAATCCTTGGATTTTTCTCATCTTTAACGCCACAATTATGGGGCTTTTACCCTAATGGGTGATTTTTATCTTTTGGCCAAGAAAATTAATGTAGAAAGAAGATGTCAGAACATGACGTACTTTTTTCGGCACCAAAGGTAGGTAAACCCAATGATCATGACGGCAACAATGAAACCAGCGGCTGCAGCAATCACGCCGATGTCAACCTTGGTGAGCCCCCCTTCTGCTGAATTACCGGCTGCTTTCCTCTTACGGCAAGCCAGATCTGTAATCAAAATTAGCATTTTAAAATAACTGAGGTGTAATTGATCAAAAGCGTAAATCATATGGCCTCAAAAGGTAAAATTGCTTTCCTATTAATCTGCAATTAATTTTTTTCGTTGTTTTATAAAGACAGTTCTTACTTAGAACTAACAAATTAAATATAAATTACATACGCCATTCAAACAAACAAAAAAAATTGATTTTACCTTCTTTAGATTTATTTGTTAATTTTCAAGCGGGAAGAAATAGAATTTATATTTGGCAATCCATACAGGGGTATGCACATGTCCGACACCAGTACGGTTTTGCCTACTTACCGACGGACCAGAAATCGGGTGATTCCGGTCTACACAACATACATTCGTCGTCAGGGTTGATGTCATCTGGGGCGTAGCACTCGCCGTCTATGATGCAGGATAAATCCTGGAAGTGAGGAGAGGGGATATGCATCACAACGAAAAATGACAGATTAAAATGTAAATTTAATGTTTTTAATGTTTACGTATATCTTTTGTTTTTTCATTTATTAACACAACCAAAAATGGCGTACGACATCTAAAATGATAAAGTGTATAGGGTGTAGGTCTAACGTTAATCTCAATGCTAAGACCCACCTAAATATTAGTTAATCATTTAAATGTATTACATTGTACGTGTTTTCATTGCATGTTCTGTTAGCGACTATTACGATAACCTTCAAAGCTCACGTTTTCTACAACTTTCTACTACATCTACAGGAAAATGTGATTAGACCACTCACATTACGTTTACAAGTTGCTGCAGTTGTGTCATTCGTGACGACGTCACATGTATGACAGATGCCATTGTAAGGTAGAAACAACACCTTGTCCACACTTGGGTTTAGTCCATAGTTACTAATCTGTATATGATAACTTGCAATCTTTGGCAGTTGACAGTTTACCATGTACGTATTGAGGAAAGTGGCTGCCACGACCTCGATCTCTCCTACTACGTTGGTGTCCGTTTCGGTGACCTATTTCATGTATGACAGATATATATATAAATTACTGTTTGATTTGTCTGATGTGATTGAAACATTTCGATTTCTATTATATATTTTCAATGAGATACATCATTTTAAAGACTGTTTGACAGCACATGCATATATTTGCTTTTCAGCTAAACTATGTTTTTATCTAAACCTGTACATAATATGGGACATACTGACTTTTTGTACAACCACCATTTCAGAATCCTATCAATTCTAATGGAATTGTGTTTGCAATATTTAATTATAAAAGAGAAGTTCCAGTTAAGTGCCCAGTTAATTCCCGTACCTGCACTTCCTGAACCATACATTTCAGCGTGTCAGAATCAACGAAACTCTCTCCATAGACTTCACTGCTGTTGCAAGTGCCTGTCCTGACGTCACACAGTCCATCGCCTGGAATGCCTGCCACCAATGGAGGAGCGTCAAGATCTGTCGAACAGTCGGCACCGCCAAGTCCAGAATTACACTGACACTGGCCTAATTTTGTAACAGAAAAAAAAAACAATCTAAGACATCGAAATGTGAGCAAGTGAATCGAAATACATGTTCTAATAAAATGCACAACCAAAGTCCATTGAAGAAAATAAAGTTTACGGATGAAAAAAGACTGTCTGTAGCTCCTTCAGATTTTGAAAAGTTTTCAAAAACACGCTGGTGAATGGAGGTTAACGGATCCCGTCATAAAAACTTTTTGGAGCGGGGAGAAGCTTAACTATAAAAAGGGCAACTCAGTATGACGGGAAAATACCCACTATTGTTCTCCTGCCCCATTAACTGTCAAATGATATAAATTTTTTTGCCTAATATCTATAAACATCTGCAGTAATTAATGAAGCTCAATGAGATTCGATACCCCGAAGGCCAAACTCACCTTCCACGCAGGTTCCATTGCCGCTGCAGTTTCCGGGACAGAGGTTTTCGGTCAACTCAGTTACATTTATGCTGAGGTTCCCAGGGTTCGGGTTGTCTCCGGAAAGGGCACTGTCTCTTTGAAGCTCCGTCATGCACTGGCCCTTTATGGCCTCCTGCTGTTGCGCCACGTAATCTGTGCTGTTAGTGGCCTATAGGTAGAAATGTCTTTGTTTTATATACGAGTAAGTTATGGCTGGATCTGACACTAAATAAATACATCAATGCCAACATCCAACTGAATATGAGATACTTTAAGATATCACATGTCTAATGTAGTCATAGGGTACTTTCCCAGAGATTTAGATCGATCTAAAGATTAAGACTTAGATCGACCTAACTCCCTGGGGGTTCACGCTAAATTGCAGTCAGCCGAGCGGGCACCATAGTTAATTACCCCCTTTCAGCTTTTAGTAGGCGGGACAGACGCTTAAGCCGGCCAAGCTGACAGTAATCTAGTGAGACTCCCCACAGGGATAGATCGATCTAAAAATCTATGGAATCTAAAAATCTTTCGTAAATCAATCTTGTTGTTGGATCTAAGATGATTTTTTATTAAACAATCACTGATATGTATAAATTATGTATTCCTTTTAAATTAATTTAACCAACCAAAATATCCGAGACACAATCCTCAACGTCTTCAGTGCTGTTCTTCTCCGTCAGTAAGTTGCATTTAGCTGCAAAAGCATTATCTGCGATCTCTGCCTTGCAGAATTCCGTCGCCTCTTGTTCTGTCATTCCAGCGGCAGGCCAACTTGGAGGCTTGAATAAAAATATACAAACCATGAGCTACAGCTTAAAAAGTGTCGTCATCTTTGAAGTTTCACTCATATTTAACAAACAGGCTATGATTTTAAATTCGAAAGATTGTGAAAGGAGGCCTCGTGTTTTATCATTGAGTGGACAAGGTGCACATTAACAATTACGAATACATGTAAGTTCATTGTTATGCTTAATTTGAACCAAAATTACGGTGGTTGCGAGGTTCAATAAATTAACATGCTGGTTCTTATGAACCATTATAAATGAAAGACCGGTTTATACGTCAAGCCCAAACTGGATCATGTCAGTTTTTACAAAACTGCAAAAGTATTTTATAAGTAAACACGTCTAACACTCACATCTGGGTTGAAGGTCAGATCAAACGTCGGTGGTGTTGGATAGTCGATCTGTGGAGCGTTCTCCACGGCCTGTCTCTTCCCTCTGTATCTAGCTGGACGAGCTGGCTTGGCGTTCCTTAAGAATGTCCGGGTCACTTCGGTACCTTTGTTAAATTAATCAGTCCAACTCATTTATATAGAATGTGAAAAAAAAAGATAAACATAATATCGGATCTTTGATGAAAAAAAAATGTATGAAGTATTTCTGGCATTGTACAATGCAACGTGCCTTAAAACATCAATTGTTTATTTTACTTTTTTTAACGCAATCTACATGCTTTTAAAAGACCATACGCCGGGTTGCGAGAGTGTCTTTTGCGCCATACGTTCAAACGTACGGAAAGTTCAAAATGGAAGTTGTATCCATATATTACAATTAACATGGATAGAAATATATATTGTAGCAATAGTTCTCCTAACCTCTAGTGCGTACATCGCAGGTTTCAATGTCGAAGCTATAACCACAGCGAGGGGCCAAGCCCAAGATACAGTCGCAGTATATGGCTCCATTGTTTTGACCCTTGGCTCTGGTAGCCGCTACGCCGGTGTATATGCTCTCGCCTGCGAGTACCCTAAAGTAGAAATGAATCACAGTTACTTTTCTGCACTCGTATTTGTCAGTAATTTGCTTTTTCCATTAGTGCATTCTATTCTTATTGATAAAGTTTTTATAGCTGTCGCAAATTACTACGTGCCTGTTAATGCAATCTATTTTACAACATCATAAGCTTACATCTGTCCATGTAAATACAATTTAAACCCCCTTTATGCAACTGAATTGAAGGTAAGCATATATTTTGGTACGTCCAAAACAGGAACTACTAACAGTACAAAATTAAAATATTAAAGTCTAATGATTCCTTTAAAATATCCCATAACTTAGAAAACTCACCTCCAGCTCTTTGAGAAATCATTTGGATAAATAGATCTGGTATTTTCCGTGCTGCCGTCCCTCTTTACCAAATCATTTCTGCTACTGCCATCGTAGTTTCCACACAGACCTGGGAAAAGTCAAAACCACAGAACAAAGTCAAATTTGACAGGTAAAAGTACAGGTACTAATGCCATCTGGCTGATTAACGCTTTACTTCCAGTATAAATTCACAGATTGAATACATCAAGATATTCAATGAAAAAATGGCAATATAAGATGCACATTTGCTATTCTTTTTATGTGCATTTCCTTACCTTCTACTCTCTGAAAATCGGACGCTGAGGGTGTGACAACAATGTTGATGTACATGGAACCGTGGATCTGTACTGTCACATATGTGCCATGGGGCATGTGAATCTATTATATTTAAAAAAAAAAAAAAACAAGAAATGCTTAGCATTATTATTATTATTATTATTATTATTATTATAAAATGTCTCATCAAACCGCAGGCAGCGATAGCAAAGTACTAGTGCTAGTACTAGTTAGAGTTGCACGGATACGCGCACTGTATTTGAAAGGTATTACATGTAGAAGCTTACCCAGAATTATTACTTGCCTATATCTGACATATATGATATACACATCCAAATCGTTACCTTTTTCAATTACCACTAACCTCATAACTTTGTCCCCTATTGGTTGAAAAGATTCGTGTACCAGGAGTCAGCTCGCCGTTCTTGTAGATGTTCACTTGCACCGGGTATGTAGTTCCTCTACTGTATTTACTACGTTTACTTTTCTTACTTTTCTTAGTGCGTTTGGTCTTTAAACCTTGGCACCTATCAATCATGATGACGTCATCTCCAGATTTCACGCCCACTCCACAGTTACAGGTTGCTCTGTGGCACTTTTTGTAGAATGCGTGAACCTTAAAAAGATAATAATTTCCTTAATGAAATAATGAGCCTACATAGTTTTCAATATTTTCATATCTTACAAGATTGTTTTCGTTTTAGCTAAATTTGTGTTTTGAAAACATCTTTAAGTTATCACAAGTAACCACTGAAAGACGCTTACGGCATATGGCAGTTCCTTGTGCCTGTACAAAACAAACTCTCCCTCATAGAAGTTGTTGTATCTCCTAAATAAACAAACAAAGAAACATATAATATTACTGTAATGTTTTTGAATAAAATAAAAGAAAAAGAGATAACGTCACATATAACGGCTACCCTTTAGGAGAAATTCTGTAGTGATAAAATCGAATTTACAAACGCTTGTACAACTATAGCATTTTCCAAAGACACGAAATTTCACTGACACTTGACCAAAATAGAAACCAGGACACAGAATGATTTAATCTTTTTCATTTTCCACAGTAAATTATTACTTTACCTTCTATCAAAGGTGCTCATGTGAGGGTCATTAGTGGAACTGCAAGCGGCTCTTCTGTCTCCGTCAGTGACCTCAACCTGTAAAAGGGAATATCATATCCAACTATAATGCGCGTGGGGGCTTGTGCGTGCGTGCGTGCGTGCGTTTATGCTGCTATTTTTAATCTTAGTATATGACAAATGTTTCTGAATTTAAAAAAGATATAATGCATTACAATGTTAAGAGACTTAATGCGAGTAAAGTATTTTTGTAATTACTAGGTAGTATCCTCGTGGAAAATCCTATGTTTCATTGGTCATTTCAATTTTCATTACAATCAAACATTTTTTTAACATAAATGGTAAGCAAACAAATATCCGAACCTTAAGTTTTGTCTCTGTTGTCAGTACTTTTTGGGCAATTTTCTGTCCACAAACAGTTTTCAGAGCCACTGTAACGAGTCTCTCCTGCTTATAATCGTATCTTCCATCGGCCTTGGCTTTTACTGGTATTACGATGTTCTCACTCCACTTAGTCCCGCTTACATCAAGGCCACAATATGCGGCTGCTGCTGAATTGCCTCCTAGCCACCTAAACACAGCCTGTGAGATGTGAGTTTTCCTGTCACCGCACCTCAAGTCCCTCGTGGACTGCATAAGCCCCGTTTCTATGGAAACTGAGCACATCTTGTCCCCGGGAATAGATGCAGTTCTGTCACAGAGGAGGTAAGGAGGAGCGTTGGTCTGCAGCACAATGTTCTTCTCTTCGCCGCCCTCACGCAGCTTAATGGTGCCCTGGGTAACTAACTGTACGAATGATTAAAAAATTGTAAAATAAAATTGGGTGATGTTTTAATAATTAAAATTTTAGTTCTGCTTTTGGTTAAAGAAAGTGTTAACGTTAGAACTATTCGCTACGTAGAATTCGCATAAGGGCCTCATAACACAATGCATTCTGAACTATAAACAGACTAACCAATCTCCATCACATTTCGTATCATACTCTAAGGCATCATAACGGAAAAGGCCTTAAACACCGTACGCGTTATTTCTGCATTCAAAAAGAGTGACTGTCAGCCCTCAAGTATAGATCCACGGCGATGTAACCATACCTTAATGCTTGGAACGAATCGGTTGCTGTAAAGCGGTGGACTAATGGGCCCACTGCAGACCCCGGTGTACCTGGCCCTCACTGAGCAATAGACCTGAAATAAATATAATTCTTGTATGAAAAGGGTAACTCCTGGAAGAAACATGCTCATTTTTATAATAGCATTTGGCTTTTTTTCTAAATGCAAAACAAATATAGTATTATGAACTCCATTTCTGTATGTTTAATTCATCATGTTTTGGTTAAATTTTTACAGCATTTTACTTTTTCTTTTTACAAATTTAAATAATTTGATTATTTAAAAATGACCCATTCATGTCACAGTGGCTACATGTTAAGCTTACTCCTTGTCCAAAGCAGAACTGTTTGTCAGCGACTGGGTCCAATACGGCTCTGTCCACAGTACTCTGAACCCATTCGTTCTTCACTACTTTTCCGTTGACATACCACTCCACAAAGTAATTGACGTTTGCTTCACTGGTTCGAGGAATGTTGCAGTAAAAGAGCATTTTGGGTGCCTTACTGTCAGTAGCGTCTAAAGTTGGAGATTTGGGAAGGGTTGGAAAACCGGTTGTTCCTGAGATAAGAGAAAGTGAATTAGTGCATATCTAATGTTTACTTTATTTTTGTAGTGGTATCAAATATTCATTCGCAAAATATTTGATTAACTGTGACATGTATATAATCAACAGAACCGTAGGGTAACAACCTTCTGAGAAACATGATATATCGCCGTTTAAATTGAATACACCAAGAGCCCCGAACGTTTTAAGTCACAGTCAATAAAAACAATTCAAACAAAATAAACATCGTAATAGCTGATGTCTGAGATAAGTCAATTGATTATTCCAGGGTGAACCACTACAAAATGTTATCAGTATCCAGTTTAGACATATCGATTGGATCAAAGGGGTCCCACTAAGACAAAACATTGTAATGTCGCAGCAGCCACACGGAAACCACGTGGTCCCCAGTCGGATTATGCATTTTGAAATTGATATCAAAACAATGTGATGAAGTAGGCCTACTGATGATAATCATGTATATACCTATTGGTTGACAGCCAGCCGGACAGGTCCCTGGACTTGTTTTCAGCCACGGAGTGGTTGTAGTGGGCTCCGGTGTGGTGGTTGTAGTTGGCTTGGTTGTGGTAGAAGTCGTGCTAGGTGGAATTGTGGTGACTAAAAGGACAAAGAAATGATGGCTGTGGCACGCTGGGGATGTACATTACAAAATTACATTTAGATTTGGGAATTTGGGTATTTAAACATTTGCCCATATTTTCAAGAATAATGATGTATATATCCCGTTTCTGATATCACGGCTGAAAAATTGCCCCGGAATGTTAAAGGGATAATAACTCTTCGTTTTGGTCAAAAAAAGAATTTTCCTGAAGTAAACAACAATTTTCCCATACTTACCAATGGTTAATGAATCCATTTTTACATTCAAAGTTAGTCCCTGTTTTTTTTTTCTAAAGAGTTTGGTTTTTTGTTAAAATCTCTTAAGAGATCTCTTAAGAGATTTTAACAGAGTATAGCCAACAATGGAGGTCACGTGGTCTAAAGACAAGCTCAGATATCAGAATAATAGCTATAACTGCCGTTTTTGTGGTAAAACAGAATATAATATATTTCTATGAGTAATTCACAATGTTTTTATTATGAAATATAAATATCATACGAAGAGTTATTATCCCTTTAAGTATTGTTGATCGATTAACATGGTTGCAAACCCAACTGATATATCAATAGTGCGATACATGTACTTATTGAATAACTACATCTTATCAAATATGTTTTCCTTACCTATGATACCCTCTCTGACAAGGATAGTTCTGGTTGTTAGCCAGAAATTCAAATTCTTCATCCACACACTTTTGGGCTTTGTTGTATTTTTCGGGTTGCTTGAACATCCGATGGAAATCGGCTCCCTCTCATAAGAACCCTGTCCTCGGGGAGTTGGTTGTTTCTGTTCCGCCACCAAAATCTCGTTCTGGTACACCGCAAGGCCGGTGTCGTTCTTCCATGTAAGGTCATATCGAGACCATTGACACTGGGTAGAAAGTGGGGCGGATCCAAACCAGCTACTGTCACTGGTTGTCAACATGAACTGCATACGGCCAAATCTGTACACCACTGCCACGCCGTAACTGTCTGGAAGCTCACCGCCGGAAGATAGGATATAGGTGTTCTCTGCCAGCTGTTCACATTTTATTTGAAAAGAGATGGTCAATCCTTCGGTGCAGTTTTCCACATCTCCAAGGCACGTGGACGGACGGCCCATATTAATGCAGACGGTATCAGTCGTCAGTTTAATGGCTGGTCCCTTATCCGTAGTATTATCTACCAATGGTGTTCCGGTCAGTTGTGCATTGAAGTCGGTGGTCGTTAAGATCTTGTCGGTTACCAAGGTGTTGAAGTCAACGAAGATAGTTTTCAGAGGATTCACAGTGGTTGGTTTAGTTGTGGTAGTTGTGACAGGTCTCTCCGTTGGCATGGTTGTGCTTTCTGGCGTATCTGTTTTATGGAAAGGAGAGTCTGTTTTAGTAACATTTAATGTAGTAGCAGGGGTACTACCAGAGACAGTACCCTGACTGGAAGTCTCTGAAATAGGTGTGGTTTTCTTTAAAGCGGTTGTGACAGAATCAGAAACGTCCTTCACCGTGTGCGTGCTAAGTTCTAAGCGTGCAGTCGTTGTGTGCAATACCTTTGTGCTTTCAGTAGTTTGTAGGGGGAGCTTAGTTTTTGGCAGAGCGGGTGTGGACGATTCTGTCGAATGCAAGCTGTTTGGATTTGAAGTCGAGCTTTTGGCGTCTTTAGGAGTTGATGTGGAAAGAAATATGGCTGTTGTCTGATATTCTACTACAGTTGTCTTTTCAGTAGTCTTCACAGTTTGGAGTGGCATTGTGGCATTTTGTAGAACGCCCGTTGACTTAACAGTGGTGGTTTTAAGCTTGTATGGCGTCGCAGTTGATTTTTCCGTGTTCTTTGTGGACACGGGCGTTGACGATATGGTGGTCGATGTTAGCTTATCGGTTTTGTCAATGGCCGTGGTTGGTTTAACAGCTGGGGTTGTAACACCTATGGCTTGGGTGAAGTTAACTTGAAAAGATGGTGTTGACGCTCCCTCCATTCCGGTAGTTTTGACCATCGTTACATTCTGCTCAGCAGGCAAAGTGATATTCCCTTTGCCTGTTGGTGGTTTATTTGTTCCAGTTGTCGGTTTTAGTGGATTTAATGGTTTTTGTGTAGACTTGCTGCTTTCCCTTGGGGTTATTGTTGTTTCTGGTATTTTGTGTGAAGTGGTTTTTGGGTTTAGAGTTGGAGGCATTTTGGAGCTTGATGTTACCTTACTAGTTTTGTCCGACACAGTTACTTCAACAACCTCTTTTGTTGCTTCTAGGGTTGTTTCACTGTCAGATCTAGTTGGCACTGTCACGAGCTCTTCTTGTGTATAATTATGAGTAGGTATTTTAACAGTTTGAGTTGCTGTTGTGTTGAAAAGATATGGCGCTGTGGGCATTTTTTCTTCCTCGGTGGTTTCAGGCTTTGTGACAAATGGCACGGTTGTGTATTCAAGCTTGAATGGAGATGTTGATGTTTTGGTAGTTGTTATTTTCAGTGAATTTTTTGTGGTTTTGTCGCTGCTCTTTGTAACAAAACTAGTTGTTGGGGTCACTGGACCAGTTTTGTCTGCAACTGGGGTGCTTTCTTCAGAAACTGTCTGACTTACAAGAATATCTTGTGTTGTAATATCCACCTCGCCTGTTACTTTGGGTTCAGAAACTTCAGCAAAACGTGTCGTTCTTTCCAACTCTGTAGTTTCATGAAAAGAACTGGTTGGCATTGTTACGAGTTCCTCTTGCGTATTGTTATAATCAGGCATTTCTACAGTTGGTGTCGCTGTCGCCTTCTCTTGATAAGATGATGTCGTTACGTCCACTGTTTGGGTATTTTCACCCAAGGTAACATTCCTTTCAGATGGTGAAGTAGCATTTTCCTTGACAGGTGGCACGGAAACTATAAGACTTGTTGGTTTCAGTGGATTCGGTGTTTTTTGAGTGGGTGTAACGCTGAATTTCGGACCCATGGTTGATGGTGTTTTAAGTATGGGAGTGCTGGTGGAATGTGAAGTGGGAGGAACCGCGGCTGTGGGCGTACTGCTGATCTTCGGGTTAGATGTGGACGGAAATTTTAAAGTAGTTTTTGAGTCTGAAATAGGAGGGATTTTCGGTGATGGCGTAGTTTTGCTACTCGAATCTGATGTTGGCGGATATTTTAACGTGGTTGTGCTGTTGGATTTTAGGTCTGACGTAGGAGGGATTTTGGGTACTGGCGTTGTACTGCCATTTGGATCGGATCTTAAGGGCACTTTAAAAGTAGTTGAGGTATTGAATTTTGGAACTGAGGTAGGAGGAAATTTCATCGTCGGTGTTACACTGCCCTTCGGATCTGATGTTGATGGGAATTTGAGAGTGGTTGTGCTATTGGTTTTGGGGTCTGAAGTTGGAGGAGTTATGACCTTTGGCGTGTTGCTGGTTTTCTGGGCAGTCGTCGAAGGGAATTTTGGAATAGATGTGGTGTTGAATTTAGGATCGGACGTAGCGGGACTTGCGGGTGTAGGTGTTTCACTACCAATACTTAAGAATGTTGTTGATGGATTTTTTGGTGTGGATGAACTATTAGTCTTTGGATCTGAAGTTGGGGGAGTTTTATACTTTGGGGTGCTCTTTGGGTTTAACGTAAACGGGGTTGTTGGGGTGGCTGTGCCATTGGTCTTTGGTTCTAAAGTAGGAGGACTTTTGGGTATCGGTGTGCTACGAATAACTGAGGTGGAGGTTGAAGGTAATGTCGTTGTGCTGTTGCTATTTGGGTTTACCGTTGGGGGTGATTGGGGTGGGGTGGGTTTTGGTGTAGTCTTTTTAACAGCATCAGATGTGAAATCTAGTCCCTGTGTGACATTGGTTTCTGGTGTGCCAACCGCTTCGGTGGTGGCATCTGGTCCTTTTGTGTCATTGGTGTCAGGTGCGACAATCGCTTGAGTGGTGACATGAACGTCTTGCGTGGCAGCAATAAACGTAGTACCCGTGGGAACGACAAGTGTCGTGAGGTCATATTCCTGAGTTAAAGTGTGTTCGGTGGTAATTGGCGAGGTAGTTGTCGTTGATAGGTTCCCCTTCGCTGAAGTAGAACGATGTTGAATATCACTTTTCATCAGGAGAATTGGGTTGTTCTTTCGCATAAAACGTAAAGCTTACTACTCGTTACTAACTATATAGTAAAGTTTCAGCCTGTTCCAAATATGTGCAAATGTTTCATAACGTTATGCTAAACGTTACTCTAGCTATAGGGGCCCCTGGATAATTAATGTAATATTGTTTCTCATAAGTGGGGGATTTTAAATGGATAATCAGTTGTACCTTGTCCTCCAGTGAAGGCTACAATAGTTCCTACAGACCCCAAGGCTGGACTAGGATCTTCAGTGGTAACCATGCTTATATTAATTGTAGGCGCCGTGGGAACAGCATGTGTTGTACCATTAGAACTCTCTATCGTTGTAAATGTTTTTTCCTTTTCCGTCCGCGGAAAAGGTTTATATGGTAGTTCATATGTTCTGTTGTCTGTTCTGTTGCCTGGCACTAATTGTTAAGGGAATTTGTGTATAACTGTTTCCAGGTTTTGGCTATCTACGCAGGTTTGGACGCGCTGTTCACTGGTATAAGGTAGGGAGGGAGGTTGTGTAGGTGCTTTTCGCTCACTCTTTAGCTTCTGATACTATCACAACCGCTAGTTATGCAAAGCCGTAGCGTGTTATACAATGCTGATCTAAAAAGCAATGTAAATTTTCTAGCTACTACCAAACAAAATACATTATTTTATGTATATTCGCATACAATTGAGGATTTAAAGAGATCAGTTGGAATCAAACATGAAGATAAACTCATGATATTTATGCATTTATAACAGTTGATCAACACTATTATGTACTTCTAAGACCTGTGCAATATTATTTATTTAGTATCTGACAATTTTCAGAAGAGCACATACTTTTCTTAATTTGCCTGATTCAAATTAGCACATCGTTTTGTGAATACCACAGGAATGAAATGAGGTTATTCATAATTTTTCTGCATGTGTTACTAAACGCACGCACACAGGCACGCACGTATTCACACACACACACACAAAATGCTAAGTCCAATATGCGATAAACACTCACCTGTGTCGTTTATTAGACCAATGTTGACCAGGTTGGGGCGCGAGACGTACCAGTAGGTCAGACCTCGCACTTCAATGGTGGCATACGCTCCGCTTGGGGTCACAGGGCCACCAATGGTGATGGGCTGGCTGACAGGGTTCAGGTTCCGGCGAGTCTGGCACTCGGAGGCTTTGGTTTCTGCCACGACGCGATTGTTCATGTAGAGCTGAACACCGGTCTGTTGATCGAAAGAAACTTCCAATTTGACTTCTTGGTTTACTGTGAGGATATTGGGCTGGCTATTGGCCGTGCAATCAAGGCTGCTCGTGCGGACATTCAGGCTGAGGCCATTGCTAACGGTGAGCAAGGTGATACCATTTGAAGCAGGGTTGGTCAGATCTGCGCTAGATATGATTACGGCGTTCGGGGTAAGGGTTTGGAATTTAACGTTTAAGCCTATGGTGAGACCAGTCGTACAGCGGTTAAGATTGCCCAGGCACTCCCGGCTCTTTCTAGGCATCTGGATAGCTTGGTTTTGGCCGTTCAGCTGCAGCGTATTGCCAAGGAGAACTGGGTTGCCTATCACCGTCAGGTTGAAGGATGTTGATACCAGAGTGGTGCCGATGATGTTCTGGAACACACATTTTTGGGTGACGACAGTAGATGCTGAAATGTGAAGGAAAAGGCAAGTTCATAACATGCAGCAAATATTGCGGTGGCATCTATAAAATCTTAGGTTGAATTAATGTATTGCATTTAATTCTGTTCTTAAGGTATTTTTTGTTTAGTTTGTTACAAACAACAATTGTAGGTTCTAAGAGCATCACCCAAAACCTTGTCAAAGTGAATGTAAATGTGAAAAAAGGAAAAGAAATACGACCACTGTTTGGTAAAGATCTACACTCTCAGCTCGAGATTTATCGTGATTATAATATTCAGTTTCTCAGGGAGACTTACGTGTCAGCTGGCACTGAGCACCTCCGAAACCTTTAGGGCAGCTACACTGGTTGGGCCCTTTGCATGATCCGCCGTTTTTGCATGGCACAGAGCATAGATCTAAAACAGTTTGCATTTGGAGTTTTTAGAATATGCAACCATATGAAAAAAGTGAGATTCCTTAATCGAAAAATTTGAAATGCTATCAGATCCTTTGACACCCACAGATGCTAAGTGTGCGAGTGCGTAAATGTATTTATGCGTTTTTGATTACATGTATGTACTTACTGAATTTCTGAGTCGTGCATAAATGCAACAGATACCATACCATTGGATTAAATTCAAATAAATTCAGTACTCAGAAGACGATATATAATAATTATTCTAACTACTATAAGATAGAAACAGCTTCACCTACTTGTGGGGTCGCATCCAAAAAATTCAAACTGGGAACAGGGTCTGTTTTTAAAATCTTCCACGTACAGTTGAATTCTGTCTGTTACAAAAGGAGTTATCCCGATAGTGTATGAAAGACTGTCGTTGTAAGCCGCAGGAAATACCTGAAAAAAAGGATATTCTTAACCACATGTATGAGCTTATTGCTAGTAGAGGTTTGCAACAACGCTTGAACTGGATTATAAAATTGTTTCAAGATTATAAGTGACTAACACTGATTGTAACGGAAAATGATTACGTTGGTTATTATACACAAATTTAAAAGGGTGAAATGATGTATTTGAAATTACCGCGGCTCCTCGATAGTCGCCATAATACTTCCACATTGCCGTCTGTGGCACATGGTACCGAACTCTGTACGATTTCAGATACGTAGTCTGGTAGGTCGACTGGTCGTCCCTGCCTGGATGTCTTGAGCCGATAGCCGATATACGCATCGGTTTGTCTAATGCTACTTGTAAATACTCAGTTTTAGCATTCGTAGCTGGGCACCAACCCCCTACAGGTGTACCTGCGTCTAAAAGTAAAAAGGCGGGAATATATGTGGGCCTATGGTTCAAATGCGAAATGCTTGCTGCATCACGATATTGGCCATAGATTAATAACGTGCATCTCTGTCTTTGTATCACGTATTTGGTTAATTGTCTGTTAAAACACAAAGAAGCAGAGTAAGTAGTAGATTTGTCTTTTGACAGATCATACGAGCGGCTTGCAAATAAATGTGGCATGTCACGTACTGTCACAGCAGCCATAACGGGCGTATTCAAGTCTGCTGTCAGCTGCTGTTGACGAGGCCGTGATTTGGTTCAAGCGAATACTACCGTCTCCCATCCCGAGTGCAGTATTACAGTTAAGACCTACAAAAGAGAAACATTTATGTTTCGTATTTTACATATACCTCAACTACAATACGTTTTCACAAATTTGCATGGCATGATAATCTCTCTTTAACAACCGCCTCTATCGAATACGTTTATATAATATATTTGCTATGACGAAGTGTTAACTTAACACTTAACTCAACGATTCTAATTATGAAAAAATACATGATATTATCATCATTGTATGAAATGGTTTTAAAATTATATTTACTAGAGTGTTCGCATCTATCTCCGTAGAAACCAAACGGACATTGACACCTATTGGGTCCGTTGCAATATCCTCCGTTTTCACATCCAAGTGGGCATATGTCTGAAAATTATAAGTAATTAGATATTTTCAAAATTGTTTTGTACATATGCGGCGATTTTAAATGAAAAAAGTAAACAATTGACTAGTATTTCAGGAATTGCAAACAAACATAGACGCGCGGGCGCACATAGATGCATGCACATTCTGAAAGGCAGGCACGGCCGTTGGCCTCATAAAAATATGAAAAAAAAATGGTTAGAACTTCCAGCTGGTTTTACTCTTTTACTGAAGAAAAGGCAACTATTCAGCGTACAAATTAAGGCAGGATTGACTCATGACTAACCATATGGATCACATCCGAAGAGTTCCATCCTGAAACACGGCTGCTGCTCAAAGGACACCACCTGAATGCGGATACTGTCCACCGTGAGGTACCCGATGTCAGTTTTATAGGCGAGTGACCTGTTAAACGTTCCCTCGACAATCTGAAAAATATAATCAGAAGAAAAAACTTTTTAAGAGAGTATAATAGCAACTCGGGGTAGGGATAAAATTACAGCAAATATGCACTTGTTGGCATATATCTTAAGCCCAGTTAACATCATACGATATACAAATGAAATAGTAGTTGCCAGAGGCTGGAATACTCTGTTACACACTTTTTAATCTTTTTTGGTAACTTACCGCTGGTTGATTGCCCTCGAGAAGATCCGTCAAAGTACCATTACTGCCTGGTACCGCATACTTAATGCTGTAGGTTTTCAAGTAGTCGGTTGGGTATCTGGTGTTGTCCACTGTAGCTGGATGGGAGATCTGTATGGCTGTTATCAGGGTAGGGGTGTCGAAATTGACCTGCACCCACTCGCCTTGCGCCGCGGTGGCCGGGCACCATCCTCCGATGGTCATGCCTACATCGATTAATATCCAGGAATTTTCCATAGACATTCACTATAGTATATGTACTACTTTAAAAGAGACAGTTTTTTAGTTCTCATTTTTTTTGTTTTTGTTTTTGTTTTTGTTACGCCTCGTGATTTCTGAATCAGTCTTCTTACCGTAACGGGTTAGCCTACATCAGAAACCTGCGCAGTATTGATTTTAAGTAAGAGGACGGAATACATAAACAGTGTAAGATAACATACTTAATTACTTCAGAGAGGAAAAAGAAGAGTGTAAGTGACTAGTAGATAATGTATTAAGAATATCAAAGATCTTCAACTGACTGTACTCACCATCACAGCAACCAAATCTCACATACTCCTTGTCGCTGTTCGCCGCAGTTGACGACACTGTAATTTGAGATGATTTGATTCTCTTGTCCTGAAGACCCAAGGGTTGGTCACATGTTTGTGCCGAAGCTGAAAATTCAGTAGATAATTATTGATTAAGTACAAGGTAACTACTTATTATTGAGAATAGTGTTTGTAAAGTGTGGGCCGAATTAAGTAAGCCTACAAAGTGTAGTCTTTCTGGACGCAAACTGGTCACTTGTGCTCTTTCGAGAATTCATCTAAGTAGAGACAGTTACATGACAATTTATGTTATTACAATAAGGGAAACTGTTGATGCACCCATGTTTGATGTCCTGTTCGCCTTGATAAGTTTAAATGTAATTTTAAATGTTTGAAAAATAAACCTTCCCAAGGTAATGCACAATATAATTTCCAACATGTGTATACTGTATATTCTTACACTGATTAAGATAAATCTCGAAAGATCTCTCATTAAAAAAACTGAAAGGTCTTTTGCTTGTACTATTCATGTGCGACAGAAGTCTGCTTCGGCATCTTTTGATCAACACACGTTAGTATAAAAATTGATAATAATAATAAAAGCGACGACAGGAGCATAAGCAACAACACATATAAGCATACATTTATTGACTAGTCCTAGGTAAAACAAAAACAAAATGTCCCTGGTATGATATACACGTATTGTTTACTTTCTATCTATTTATTATACATTTCTTTGTTTATCTATAAATTTTGGTTTATTCGAATCAATCCAAGCACGATTTGGTACAATTTAGTGCCCACCTCCGTCCAGGGGGGGTTGAATTAAACAGCACTTAGAAACTTGTAAATGACGTAAATTAGTTTAATTTACCATTGCAATAATCACCCCTGTCGCAGCTATTTAATAAGTTTGAATTCAAAAACTGAAAAAAGTTAAGTGTTTGGCACACATACAAAGCCCTCAAATCACCGTTTTTTAACGCGTCGGAAGGGAGTTATAAAAGGGCGATAAATCTATCCCCTTTTTCAGAACGCACAATGGTAAAATAAGCCCCTACTCCAAGCTTCTTTATAGATCTATTTACACTGTCGTTTTCACACTAAGGCCCCCCACACCCAGTTACGTCAACAGTTAAATTAATATAAATTAGACAAAGAACACAAGGTATATAGAAACGTCTTACATAAATCGACATTCAATCGCGAGGAAATGCGTTAATGTTGATAGTCGAGTTGCGTGGGAAGCGGCGCAAGATACGTTGATGGGTGGAGGGCGTCGGCATTCCGTTGTTGTTAGTTTAATACTTCATGAATTAATCTCGTAGATAGTATATATCACGCTACTATTTTATAGCTGTTTGCTTTAGCGAGATAGCCTGTAAATCAAATAAGCAGGTATTGTCTAACTATTCTACATTGATATTGGCAAGACGTGTCCTTCTCACCGATATAGAAAGTGACCAGCGCTTAGCATTAAGTTTTACGAAGATCCGTTCGTTGAAGATATTTTTCAGCGACTTTATTTCGATTTGCGGATTCCTTTTTAATTACCTTCTTATCAAAGTGAACACTTAGATAAAATAAGTTACCACAAGGACACTCCAATTACTGATAGGGGCTTATCTTAAAACTGGAACGAGCAGGTGGTATGACGAATAATTCTTTTACGGTTTACCTTATTTGCTGAATTTGCCCCGGATTTTTAAAATTTGAAATTTTGTTTAAAAAAATTAACGCAATTAATTCAATTGTTGAGTGATAAATTGAATCGCCGCCGGCGTCGAGTCTCAAGTACGTACTGAGTCTAAAGGTATACAAGTTCAAGTACGTAGGCAGTCAACGTCATTTTTCTTTTTAAAAAAGCACTAAAAGACACGCCCGTAGAAGTTGATCAATGATGACAAGTCCAACATCAAGAACGATAACGAGTTGACATGTCACTATTTTGTGAAACACGCTGTATATTTGCACAACACCTACACTACCGTTTATCAACAGGCGTTGAACAGAAATGCTTAGTAGTTTAGTATTTTTTTTAATATTCATCTTTTCAGTCTCAAGATCCGTTGTAAGTACTGACTTCCGATCCAGATTATGCCCAAAACTTTTTATAATCAAGATTTCCTTGAGCTTGAAATTATTTGCTCAATTTTATAATTACGTGTAGATAATGACGAAAGAGGATGGGGTTTCTCTTGTAGTAACAAATCTTTTAAATACATATACGCTTTATAGAGAGAAAAAATGAAATCCTTCTTTGTATTCAAATGTATAGCATTATAATTTGAACTCAAGAGAAAAATACCAAGTTTCATTTTGAACCTAAATATATATTATATACCTCATTTGTGAACATTACGAGCTTTATGATGCATTACCCTGGATACGCCGTTGAAGTGGGAACCTCTACATTAAGTCAGGAAAAAGAGCAGTCATGTAATACATACGTTACCTCGACGAAAAGTTTGACTTCGTTATAATGCTTGAGAATTCAGCTGAGTATTTAATAATGTCCAAGGAAACGTAAAGGTGTAAAAACTGAAATCTGTGTATGACCATCCGTTTTAGAAAAATTCCAATATGAAAACAGAACTTTTACAAATTGAGGAATAAACAGAAAAAGGAGAAAAATAATGTTGTTTAATAAAGGAAATGTTCGTTCCAAGTATCACTTGAACTATCCTGTTGAAAAAGTAGTGTTTACAAGCACAGTTGCATGCCAGTGATATGTGTTTTCAGATACAAAATATTAAAGATAAATACGAATTACTTGACAGAACGCGTCGAGAGTCAAATTCATTAAATGCACATCGTTCATAATATATAAACGAAAAATTGGTAAAAAGATGTTTCGCCATATGGATACCACATATCCTAAGATAAAACAGATCATGAATGATTGACGGTAAATAAAAAGTTTTTTAAGATTGTTACTTACTTCCAATGATCAGAACTGCTAATATGATACATAAGGTGTTATTTCTTCCTCTTAATCTGTAAAAAAAGAAAGAAATTGGTAATACACGGTTAATCGCGATGACAAATTACATGATGCGCAATCTCCGAGGCCGAAAATGGCATGAAATCACAATGAAGCTATATTTATATTTGACCGATACTTAAAATACTTATACTTTTAAACCTCATTTATTCTTTAAAACGTTTTTACTTTCAATATTTCATTTATACATTATATCTGTTGACATGCTGGATTTTTAAACCCTGAACTATTTCCTCCATGAGTTTTTCTTTCTTTTCATTTTTTGTTAATCATTCTTCTTTTTAAGTATATCTCTCTTTCTTGTTTTAAAAAGGTTAACCTAAATAATATATTTCCATATCTTTAGTATAAACTAAATATTTGTTTTATAAAGAAAACAATATAGATGAGAAGATCAAAATACCTGTGGCTACTTGTTCCCATTCTCATGTACTCCTGTGTTTCGTTGAAAGTGGCCGAATCTGCGCTGCCAATAACTTAAATACTTTTCAAAATCTGCGCAAGTGATTATTGCTAGGGCGGAAATCAGTGGGGCTTTATCACACCCAAGATAAGACGCGTAGCAGTTCATAATTCCAATGACATTTTTATGACTCCAGATAGTAAAGAGTACAATACTGAGTTCTCTCAGGTGCAAAGAACGGGGACTAAGCTACCTGTTGGTTAATTATAAAGTACTCCGCTAGCCGTAAAGTAAACATCAACACTCATTTATTAAATTACACCATTGACACTCCTCTCTGACAAATACTGGCAGATTTCATTTTCATTGCAATCGTATGGGATTTTTGATTATCCAAAGACGGATTTTCTTTTTACAGATTTGAGAAAAAAAGAGATCTAAAGCCAAGACAAGGAATTGAGTAAGCGTCAACTCTTTTAAGATACAAATGTATGTTTAAAAAGAAACAAGCACTTTTGTCTTGTTGCTTATAGGGTGCATTTAGGAAAACAAATTTCGAATATTTGAATTAGAATTTGAGATAGCCAAACATTGAATATGTTTAGAACTGAAAAGGCATAATTTGATTATTCATGTTTCTAATTTGAGCTAATGATGCATCGCCTGAAGTGGTATAAATAAATAAATAAATAAATAAAGAAAGAAAGAAAGAAAGAAAGAAAGAAAGAAATAAAAGAAATAAAAGAAATAAAGGAAAAAGATGAACAGATACTTCTAACGTTGCACTAAACAATAAATCCACTGCTATGAAAAACAATCAAATAAGATATACTGTGTTGTGAGACAGGGTGCAAATCTAATTAAGAGTGCGATATCGCCTTGCTTTGGTCCTTCTGTGTATACTTTCTAGGCGTACACCTATTCAGGAACAAACAAAACTGGAGACGTGTCATAAATTTTGTCATCTGGGGTTTTATTGTCAAAAGTTCGTATCTCACGAATATAAAAAGAAAATCACTCTCATGTTTACCTTTCCACGTAAGTCAGCGGCGTGGACAATGGTTGGGCGATTGCCAAATTTGTAAAACACTTTTGAGAACAGGACTACGTGACCCGGGATGCAAGGACAAGTTGCATATGACTCAATTCGTCCTTAGTCTATCGTTTAATTGTATGGCCTGATAAAAACTGAAAATTATCATGTGTTATTTTGACACTAATTTGTTGAGGTTATTTGGACTTGAGTCAATTTGCTTTATGGTGACATGCAGTTTACTTTTTGATTTAGCTTGTTACATGAATACAATTGAACCAGCGACGATCTCATTTCGCAGTCTGGTGACGTCATTAAAACCTAACCCCGGGTAAGTTTATCTCTACTCTCAGACACACCTAGGGCTCATTCCCTCTGAAACTATTGGTCTACGTAGATCGATCCAGCTCCGCGTGGACTCTCGCTGAATGAAATCAAATGAAGAAATTAAGACCCCATTCAGAATAGGGGACTAACTAGTCCGAGGGCCAAAAATGGCCGACCCACTTGATTACTTCCCCACGGGATATCTATTTAGTGTCTATTAGGGGATTAGACGGCAAGCTTTGTAGTGGGTCGCCATATTTGACCTTCGGACTAGTTAGTCACCTATTCTGAATGGGGCCTTAAGACGCCTTCTGGCGTTGAGTAAAATAGAGAAAACCTGGTGATTGTACGAGTACGTTGGGAACAAGAGAGGGTGTGTTAATCTTTTAATCTGATTGCATTCAGCGAGAGTTCCCGTGGAGTTGGATCGATCTACGTAGACCGATACTTTCATTGGGAATGAGAGCATAGATATTGTTTCAGGCGTTTTATCCGCTGAGAAGGCCGTGAAACTAAAAGAGGACATGGCCTCTTCTAATCCAAATGATAAACTAATCGTTCTTACAAAGTGCTCGTGATTGACACCAGTTCAAATATCAGAGAAGATTGTTTAATGCTGTTGATTAACCCATATGTAGTATACGATCATTCAACAAACTAGTGATCGACATCATTGAGAGTTAGCCCAATATACTGGGCCCTGGATGAAAATGAATCGTCGTTGGGCACTTCAATGCACAGTTATGAATTATTAAGCGTAAATATAACCAGAGGAGCACCGTGTTTGTAAATGGTAATAGGAGGATAAGAACGGAAAAAAAATTAAGCTTTATAATACACGGCTTTCTTTGCTTTAAAACCCAGATAAACATACAATTAGGCAACGGTTAGATTAATTTGTTGGAATTAATTTTAAAAAAATAATCAAAAAGCACAATGAAGTTATCATGAATTTACTGTGCAGATATAGGTTGAAAAGTGTGGCGTGTATACGTAGAGGGCAACGCATATCGGGATATCATTATAACTAGTGAAATCCCTTGGTTAAAAAGGAGACTCTCCACACCCACCCACCCACCCACCCACCCACCCTCTCTCCCTCCCACCATCTCCCTCCCTCTCTTTGTAACCCTCTCTCTTTCTCTTTCTCTCACTCAACCACTCTATTCTTGTGAAGAGTTACAATCCCCTTTTATGCCTAATATTGTGATTGCAGTTGTGAAATAGTCAGTATAGTGCACGCAGGTATGTCTGTATCTACTCCCCCTTTAAACTTGTTTAAACATTTGACTTGCGCCCGACAGAAACACACACAGGAAACAAAAAGCCACGTGGTCTCACTTTTAGGAAATTGACACACCGGGTGATATTTATTCTACAATAATGCGTCTGACATCAAGAAACATTCAAACCGTAATTAACCTTGCATTTAAAGGTTGGACTGAAATTAGCCTTCCTTGTTTTTTATCTTCCGCACGAGCGACTTCATTCCTTGCCAATTGTGTTTTCAGTTAAAACGCAATGAATCGATTTTGATACAGCAAAGTCCCTGTAAAACAGTGATATGTCACGGATCAAGAATTTCACTAATTATTCTAACTAATTGTTTGAAACAAATGATGAAATGATGACGTACTTCTTATTGTCAGCGTGCACGGAATGAGCAGACAGTTTTTCCTTTTAGTAGATGCCCGATCTAAAATAACACATATCCAAGAGATGTTTCCAAAAATGGTGTAACTTACTCAAAAAATAAAGCATCTTAACTGATTCGAAATCAAACAACCGTATTTTTGAAATATTGACACTAATAGCAAACAATAACAATAATAACAAATATACGAATTTTATTGTTACCAACAGCATTGTTTTTCAAAGAGGCAACGCCAGCCATCCGAAAAACAATGCTTTGGGTTAAAAGTCGTATTTTCATATGAATCTTGATTCGTTTTAAAGTAGTTTTAACGGTTTATCAGCCAGTTAGTAATAGCAACTAATTAAGAGCTAATATATTTTCTATTTTCTGTATCAGCTCCATTGAGACCCACTCTGTTTCTCTCGGCATCCATTTTATAAAATCTACTGGCTTCCACCGAGAACAATGGTTGTCCCGCTTTCGCTTATTTCGAGTAATATTGCAAATGTCGAAGAAGAGATCGGATTGAAAAGAATGACGATTAGAAATGACGACAGCAAGGAAAAAATAAAGCGAATACCAAATCAAGTAAACGAGATGAAGTGACTTCCGAAAAAAATAGCATTGTCCTTCACTTAATCAAACTCTGAATTAATTAAACTGCTAGGTAGTCGGAAGTATCAGAGATCAAATCTCAAGTCGGTAATTGTTCTTGTTCGTTTTGCCCCGCCTTCACACTGACCAATCAAAAACGTGTTTGGCCCGAGGCATGTTTTGACTAGGTTGGCTGAACATAAGGCGAGTAAAAATGGTGACGCTTTATGTCAAATGTCACATTTGTGCTGTGAATTAACGCAGTCAACTTTGCACGCTCGGCTTGGTTAACGTATTGATACTGCAATTGATGTCAGTTGCCATCATTGCTCTTAGTTCGTCCTGCTTAGGAAGCGAAAATATTAGCATTGAAACTTAGTTCCTATGCTAGACTGAGCCCTTTCTCGTGGAGTTAGGACCGTCTGACGATCGCCCACTTTCCGCCTTAATTTTTGTATAAAGTGGTCGTAATTTGCAGTTTTCATTGTCACGGTTTCAAGATAAGAAAAAAAAAACGCGTCAAGGTTGTCATTCATGGAGAAAAGTGATTCAGCGCTACTAAAATAGGAAGCAATCTCGCCGATGGATAGATATCCCCGTGGTTTTCACACGATGACATTACCAAGAAACCTCCAAGAAACGACACACTCAAAACAACGTGTATCTACTGGAAACATGAACAACTCGCACAGCTTGGTGAAATGCGGCAAAACCTGGTCTAAACTCCTGAACAGAGACCTAATACTATGGCTGCTGTCGTTGTCCTTGCTCTGTCATTTCACTTCTGGGTGTTACGTTCGGAACTGCCCGTTAGGAGGGAAACGGAGTCAACAGTTGGTAAGTTCTTGTGCAAGTTTTGAATTCTACATTTGATTCAAATGAATCAAAAATGTTTCTTACATCTAGGGAGGAGTTTTCAATTAGTTCAAATGATCTTTTCATATATTTTTAGGTTATTTAACGTTTTCTTTTATTCTACGAACGACCTTACGCAAGGCAGAACCGTACCAAAACATTAAAAAAAACGAGTGACAGTTGAATAAAAATAGTATTATGATATTATGCGTCTTTTTTATTCATAATAGTGAGAAATATTACAAAAAAAAAAAAAAAAAAAAGAAAAAAAAAAAA